GGTCAATTCCAGTATCAGTCATTCCCTGTTGAAGTACAAGGCTTGCCAGAAAAGCTGTCAATTTTGTCCCCAAATATCGCGATGACGGAACAGCTTGACCATGCTTTACCACGCCATGGTACTGAAAGATTGCAAGAAGAAGGAAAAATAAATTCAGTCTAAATTATTTTTCGTTTCTTGACGAAATACCAATATGTACAAATGACACCCAATTGATGCGAGGTCCGAGTGAATGTCAATCGCTGTTTCTCTGTCTCGGTAGTGGCGAAACCGTGATGTTTTTTGCATTTTTAAAGGTCAAACATGGGCATCTTTTCAGATACACCTTGTAGGCAAAATTTTGATAAATCCACCCTTAGATTGGCATCATTTTTGTAATGGACGCTCCTCAGTATAAACTGATAAAGATTCATCTTTATCTGGGCCTCTCCTTGCCCTCCCCACTAATAGACACCTATTTCGTCTCCCCCCGCGCCAATTAACAGACCCTACTTGTTACATTATTTTTATCAAACTTATTTGGTTTGGATAGGACGATTTTAGCACCGAGGATCTATCTTTTCGATAATCACTCCTCTGCTTCCTCAACTGGGCATCCCCCTTGCGACATGTATTCTTACCAAACTTCAGTTGAGTTGAAGCTACCGATTATAGCACCGATGATCAATCTTTTTCGTTGACCCCTAGCTTGCCCATAATGCGCCCGAGCATTTGGAAGCATCATCGAAAATATTTCTACGCAGAATCAGCGCCACAGGCAAAAATATCCGAAGAATATATTTAGTCAGAAATTGTATTAAAACCACCATTTAAAGGTGCAGGAGGCTAAAAGGGGACAATTAATAAAAATCATCAGGGGCCTGGCAAATATGTACGGTAATTATTAGCGAACCTCTCTATATTCTTATGATTCAATCCATCATTTCCTATGTCAAAGTTTCGAATCAACTACCACTCCCCGAGTGGAAAGAGATGCAGCCTACAAAAAGGATGCATTAGCGCAGTTTTGAAGATTTCCGATCTGTCATATGTAGCCGATAAGTATTAAGTAGCAAGTGTATTTGCATTGCTTGTTCGATTCTAGATAGCTGTCAGACCCTTTTAGTCTTTTGCATAAAGATTAGTCGAGGTGGAGTGCGCCTGAATGCCGGCCATTAGTGCGCCCCAGAGTCGGGCTCGTGAGAGGTCAGGCTGATAATGATAACGACATCTGCCTTACGCGGGAATAATAAAAAAATATCCCCGTTCCCGGGGTCGATTAAAAAGCTGTTCTGCACGAAAGTGTATTATTGTTGTAAGAACAGAGTTCAGTCAAAAAGGGCAAAATTCTCTTTAGCTAAAAAGAGATTCTTTAAAAAAAAGGGTTTTTGGGTTCGAAAAAAGAGCGAGATTCTCGGATGCAGTGAAAAGCGTCAAATTCCCTAACCTCCGAAAAATGAGAAAATTCGAAGGATCAACCAAAAATTGCTGGCACCTAGGAAAACCTGCCGAATTTTGGCACTTTAATTGGTTTTTTCATTTCGGCACGTTGAAATTTTTCTGCTCTGGTCTTAATCAAAAATAAAATCGAATATAAAGGTAATAATGATGATACGGCGAGGTGACGAAGAACATCGAAAAGCGGCAAAAATGCCAAATATTGGAATTGAGTGGCGTTTGAAACTGCGCTTTGGGCCTGTACCCGGCAATTTTTGGTTGATCCTTCGAATTTTCTCATTTTTCGGAGGTTAGGGAATTTGACGCTTTTCACTGCATCCGAGAATCTCGCTCTTTTTTCGAACCCAAAAACCCTTTTTTTAAAGAATCTCTTTTTAGCTAAAGAGTTCTTATTGCATTGCGACATGATCCGCTTCGGTGAAAAGGTACTGTTGCGTACCTCGCCAAAATAGATCCAATTTTTCTTTAAATCTGCTAGTTATTAAACGTCCTCAAAAAGTTGTTCTTTGAATTTTGAGATCAGGGTTTGGGAAATAGGCTATTTCCCAAACCCGGACCCTGATGCCAAATAGCTCGTTCAAAACAGCTAGTTTTTATCCAGAGATCGTCTGCAGTTTTGCAAAATGTTTCTTAAGAGATTTTTAGAGATACACGATATCCGGCATTTCAGCTAATTTACAATAGAAGCATGGCAACTATCCAAATCTGGACTAGTGTAGATTTAAAAAGATGTGGGATTCAGCAAAAAAAATCTGTCCAGGACGGTCTAGGACCCGGACGGAATGGGGTAAAGTCACTACCCCGAAAAGTCACTACCCCGAAAAGTCACTACCCCGAAATAATTTACATGATTTTCATAGGAAATCCGCATGAAAACTGGATTTTTCCGGGAAAAACAATGCTATCATTTTTCGGGGTAAAAGATTTCGGGGTAGTGACCTTTCGGGGTAGTGACCGGACTCCCAGTTTGTGTGATCTCAAATCCCGTTAGAAGTACAAACCCGGGGTGTGATCTGTCCTCTCTACCTGATATCACCCCAGAAATCAGGGTTGACAACTCGCCATACCATCCGGCGATACATGGCTTCCTATAGGGAAATTATTAAGACTCAAGAGTTCAATCTCTATGTATCCCCCGGCCCGAAAAACCCCGCAAAAGCGGTACCAGATCTCTGGCAACGGAAATTGTACCCGGCCCTCCCCCCTGACGAGCAGCAAGTACGAATCGCAATTGAAGAGGGAACAGAGAGTGGTGAGGAGTGGAAGAGAGTGCAAAGAATTAGGGGCAGCGTGCTGTGTACCTGGAAGAGAGAGAAAAAGAATTATTCGCCGGTCGCCTACCCCCAAAGTCCCCCTCCCCACATCGCATTCACATCGATCCCCACCGCTTCAGCCTTTTAATTTATTTACGATCAGCATTTAATTTACATAAGTTCAAGGAAGGCCAGGCTCAACCTAGATCTCCACCAGATTTTGTTATTATTTTTATCAAATCCTGGATTCCCAGGGTAAGCCGGATTATCCCTCGTGGGGTACGGTATCATTTTTTGAGTCAGCCTGTTTACTGGACGTGATTTTGCAAGTTTTTGGAAAGGAAACGGGCAGATTAAGGGTATTTTTGTATTGAAATTGGAGATGAATGTTGTGAATGCTGGTAAATAGCTTCGACAAATGAAAAATTATCATTTTTCGTAAAGTCTTCACTAAATCCTATTGAAAACCAAAGACTATGGTGTATTTTTCTGTAAAAAATCCAATTTTGAGATATTTTTGCAAAAGTACAGATAGTGTACTTTATCGTAGTTCTTGGTATTTTCTGGATTAGAAACTGGCATTTGTAGCGAATTTTATATTTGAGGATGATCGACTCTTTTTCACAAGTACGTATCGTGTATCGTAGCTTGCTGTTGTTCGTGCTCGAACTTAAGCGTATTTTCGTACCCATGCGAAGCCCAGGGCACGTGAGGCCGGGTTACGGTAGGATGTATATAGTCGTGTTGTGAACCCCGAAATGGATATGATCCGCTTCCTATCACCCTCTCTCTCTCTCCCTCTCTCTCTCTCTCTCTCTCTCTCTCTCTCGTCTGATGATAATCCAATTTCCGAGTTTTGCATCCCTTCCCGACTAATACGCCTCGATCCCCCTCACTTGCACCCGGTTCTATAGGAAATCTGCACGGAAACCCTGCGGGCGGTTCTCAGAATTGCGCCCCCCTCCGGCACACTGGGTACAGATGAAGCCACAGAATCAGACGTAGCAACCACCCTATAGGGGTGTGGCCCCAAAGATAGAGGGCCCACTTTCCCATACCCCAGCCGCATTACAAGTACGACCTGCTGCTCCGCCACCCTGGCCATTATTTCATTTCACTTTTCCATACCCCCCCCCCCCCCTATCCCCCGGGAATTCAGTCAGAAATTGTCGACAAAGATCAGGGCACACTTTTCCCCCGTTCATGCAAAGCGAAAGAGAGGGCAAATAGCAGAGAGAAGTGTGCTTGTCCCCCCACCAGGCTTCGCATCGAATTGTCGTCCTTTTATACACTTCAATTCGGCTATATCCCCCTCCACTATCGTTCTCATTCTCTCTCACTCTCTCTCTCTCTCGCCGTCCACTCGATTGTGATGATGTTGATGGACAGGAATGCAAACCACAGTGTGGATAGATTGGAGAAACGTAGTTGTACATTATTGGCGTAGGCGTGCAAAGGAACATTGCTGAATATGGGGGTGTTTTGGAAGGGGTGGTTTAATTTATTAAAATTAGAAATTTAAATCGTATGCAAAGTTTATTCGGACTTATATGATAGAAGTTTAATAGTTAATTAGTAGTACTTAGTCGAGTCAAGTAAGGGTAAGCGAGGGAGAGAAAGTGAGAGTGCGAGAGAGAGAGAGAGAGAGAGAGAGAGCGAAAGGGAGAGATAAAGGGAGAGAGAGAAGGCAAAGTAAGCTTCTGCACGAAAAAACCTTCTGTTTGAATTTTGTACTCATCTGCACCAAACTAATTATACCCTTCCAGCGATCCGGCATCCTTTTACGCCGAAATGTGTCTTGTAGACTCCGTTGAACTAGGAACCAGCCAGTTCGATTAAATTCTAAATCCGTTCGAATCCGTTCTAATCTGAATTGAGCCCGCGTCTCTATCGCTCCCTCTCTCTCACTTTCTCTCTCTCACTCCAACCCCCCAAAACCCGCCAATTTACCCCACACTATAGTAGCCTTCCAAATAGGGGATCTTTGTTTATAAGTAACTAGAGGTCCCGGGCTTAATTTGTATGGCCACGTAGCCGTGGGTCCAGGTAGATCTGGATCTATTTTTTGCAGAACTCACTAATTACGCGTGTGCGTTTTGTTTTGATAACAATGGACGGGGTGGGTGCAGAGGAAAGAAAGGGGGGTGGGATCGCGTACTTTTAAAGAATAGATTACGTGCAATATAAGTCTTAACATAGGTTTTGCGCTTATATAAATTGTTCATAAATTATAAATATTATTCTCTATTTTTGTGCTGTATTAAATTCGTTAAACTATAAACTACCCTCTAGCGGGCCGTCAAACTACATATGGCTCGCCAGGCCGGGTGCGGCGTCTGCACATCGACCAAAAGAACCGGTCTCTTTTATGGAGCCCATGTTTGCAGGTACGGTAGATTAGTCACCTTTTAATTTTTCGAGGCCTACGTTAAAAAGTATGCAAAATTTTTTCATTGCAGTAGCTGCAAAATCTTCTTCATGCGCACCGTCACCAGCCACGCCGTATATTCATGCCAAGAAAAGGGCAACTGCCAGCTGGGAGTGGGTAAGGTATCTTAGAATTTTTCCAAAATTCCTTTTTTCCGGCGCCTACACAAAATGCCGCGCCTGCCGATTTATGAAGTGTTTGAAGATGCGGATGAGGCCGGAATGTGGGTTTTATGAATAATAAAGTAAAAATAGCATGATTTAGCCAGCTTTAAACAATTTAATTTATCCTGGTTTAGTAGTCGGCACAAAGAAAGAGCATTCACCGGGGAGCAGCCCGATTTTTTATCGGGAAATGATGGTGGGTGTAAATGCGGAGTTATATACTTGTTTTGAATAACGGTATCCTACTATATCTAAAAAAAAGTGTTGGTTTGTGTGTGTGCATTTTCATGCAACTTCCGTCCGTATGTTCCAGTCGTATCTCCAGAAGAAAGAAGTTAAGGGCACGTATGATATGTCATTAGGTGCGTAATGGTCATGACACGACTGCACGCATATGAGATTTTTCAAAATCGGCTGTTTTCGACATTAAAAATAGGTTATTGTGAAAATCGCGTTCGGCCTCTTTGTTAGGAATCAATTTGCATGCGCCGGAAGTGGGGGAAACCTATATAATTGGGGAGAGGACGCGCTTTTCATTTTTCTGCACAAGAATTCAGGTGTTAATGCAAAGTGACGAACTATGGGGGTAAGACGGGGCCAGGGTTGAAAAGTCGCGAAGCGGCTTTCCAACCCTGGTTTATATATTTTTTTAAGGTAAAAGCCGAGCGGCGGTTCTCGTCGACTTCAACGCGTTCAGGCTCGGATTCTGATCTTGAGCAAGAGGAGACACAGAAACCGCAATTAGCCATTTGCAGCGCTGACAACTTTGATAGGGTATGTTATATCATGCGTAGAGGGAGGCAAACAGGGCAAGCTACCGAAGAACATTTATGAGCTTGAGATTGAGCTACAGCTGTCGCTAGCTGATCTTAGAGACTACGCCATCTTTTTCAGGATTCCCTCTACACCTCCCATGCTGTTGGCTACTCATTTGTACAACTCCTGAAAGATACTCGAGACGGCGTAATAGCATTTGCCGAAAAATTGCACGCCCTGGAAGTGTTGGTTTATATCGGAAACTTAATAGCTATAAAATTTTATAATGTTGTGTATTCTCATTTTCAATTTAGTTACTGTCAATACGACATCGGGGAGTCAAATTTCGACATGAGCTGTAATTTGGACGTCACGCTGGAGGCTGCATTGACAAATCCGACGATGCTTTGTAAGAGAACGCCGGTAGGTTTTGAAACTGTTAAAAATTATCTAAAACCTGTGGAATCAAAATCAGATTTTTTTATACCGACTCTTTTAAAGGGAAAGTGACAGCACTATTCAGAGGTTTTTTCCAGCCCATCCCTCCTTTAAACTAAAAATCTCAAAAACAAGTTAAAAGGCCATCGTAGGGTAAAATTATCTAACAAAATAAAAATAATACGTTACAGTCCGTTGTAGCACACTGTAGTACCGTAGCTTTTAAATTTTTATTTAGAAAGCGCAATCCACCGTCTTTGAACCGTTATAATTAAAAGCTAATAGCTATGTCACCGGGTGTTCAAACGAATACTAATTTGACAAAAATACGTTACATTAAGCTACAGTACACTAAAGTACACCCCACCGTTCAGATGTATTGGCTTGGAAAGCGTGACCCCCGTGAATACGGCCTCAAAGGAATTCAATCCCTCTTCGCGCGATCTGGATTGGCCTATATCGATTGGTTGACGGCCAGCCCTGAGCTTCACATGATGTCCGATTCCGATAAGGTATCTTCAACAAAAGGATTATTTCATTTTTATCTCAACTTTAGCGACGGCTCATCACCGCTCAATTCTCAGAAATTGCCAAAATCACAACGTTATATGCCATTTACAAGCTTCAATGTGACGGTTATCTATTCGCCAATGGTTGTACGTGCCGTGAAACTGATCATGTGTAATGAATACCATATTTTACTGACAATGCAGTTTAGGGACCCATATCTAAAGAAATTGGTTCGCCATGCGCAAACGTTGATACGACCTCTGTTGGAGAGACTGAAGATCCGATCGCAGGAATACTGTATTCTAAAGCAGATTATTTTTTATAGTTGCAGTGAGTTTTTATAGTTGATGTTTGCATTTGAAGAAGAAAAATATAAGAATTTCTTAAGTACGGATGCTGCAGGCAGCGTACTTTTTGAACCGGATTAATGAAAAATTGGGATTGAGAGGGGTTGTATGAATCAGCTTGTCTTACTATAGCTTTATCAAACGACACATTTTTTATTGAATTTATAAATTTTATACATTAAAAATCTAGGTAAAAAAATCGAGTCTTGCAATGTTTAAACATAAATAAAACTCATTTAAACCTGAAACTGAAACCTGAAAAAATCATAATTATAAAAAATTTATAAAGCGGCATTTGGTATGGATTTTTTGATCTTTTCATACTAGAGTTTCGTTTTTTTAGAAAATTACGTTTTGTATGTTCTCATTGATTTAAATTCAAAGCCCAAAATTCGTCATAAGTGGTTTATAAAAAAAGCTTTCATTAACCCAATTTACCACCTGTATATAATGAGACCCCTTTCAGACGCCTCCCTCAGCGACGACGGCCAAAAAATCTGCAGACGTGCCCGCCAAAAGTACGAACAAGTACTAATTGCCTACGTCGCCGAGGCATACCCGGATTTAACCGAATCCGAGCGTACTCGACGCATCCTTGATCTCTACGAGTTTCGACTTTATGTACGGGTAAGGTTATTGCACGCATCTTTATTTTTTATTTAATATACCTAATCAAATGATATAATTAAATCGAATTAAATAATTTAATAAAAAACTCTAATTTTAGCAAATGTCTATCACCACCCAGGTCTACACGGAATCATTAGTGCTGAGCGACAAGAATGGACTGGGAAGGATGTTCCCGCGTGATCTCACTTTTGGATGAATGCATATATCGCCATTTTGCCCCATGTTACATTACATTCCGACACCTTCTCATATCATTTGATTTGCATAATTTATTATTGAATACCAAAGTACAAGGGATAAAGAGTTTTATTTGCACATTAAGTGTTGCTAACGTTTTACGTTTATTAATAGAACAAAACTAGTATTAAAGGCGCTTATTCACGAATTTTAATCACAATTAAAAAGCTTTAATGTTATTTTATAGTTTAGAATTTGTTTTGGAAATTTTGAAATTGGCAAAAGCCAGCAAATAAGACGAAAATACAATAAAATAATTTTTGGCGAGCCCTCAATCGATCAAATTTTTTGCTAGATCTCTCTCCCGTTTTCTCTCTCTTGTCTGTATCTCCCTTTAACCCTCTCTTCGTTCACTCTCCCATATCCCTTTCCGGCTCAGATTCGAGAAATGAGAATGAGAACCCCCAGCTGAGTCAACCACCCCAAAATGACGCCAGTCCCTTTCGATTCGCAAAAATTCTCAAAATGAGCCTCGCCGAATCATCAGGTAACTATCAGCTATTGGCTAAATATGGGGGCGAGGTGGCCAAATTCAACACTCCAAATCTTGGTATAAAAGGTTGAGGGTAGTCTTGGAAAGTATCAGATTTTAATCTGCTTCTGCAACCAGTTCCAACAACAATGAACGCCTCATTTGGAGTTCTTGCTCTTTTGGCCATTCTTGGCATGGCTTCTGCCATGTTTGTGCCTCCATTCTACCACGGACCTGACAACTATCACCACGACAACCATCATCAGTATGATTCTCGTGGATTCGAGCATCACGGGTGAGTTTTAGGCGATATTGAAAGTTATGAATTTTATGTAACAAATCGCAAAGTATATATAAATTTTTAAGAGGCCATCACGGTCGCTTCAAGCGCGGATACGGATATGGTGGCGGTATGGGAGGTGGATACGGTGGAATGGGTGGAGGATTTGGAGGTGGAATGGGCGGCATGGGCGGAATGGGAGGCGGAATGAGTGGAATGGGAGGCGGCCAGATGGGTATGTTTTAAAGCAAAGTTTTTTTAAGGGTATTAACGTAGTTTAAGAGGATAGTGTCACCAATAGTAGCGACGTGTAGTCTAACGTATTTAGAATAAGCCCCAGCTAAATTTCCCTTTCCAGGCGGCCAATTCCCCGGCATCATGCAGTCGAACCAAAACAGCTGGGGCTCCTTCAGCTCGTCCCGCCAAGGCGGATTCAACAACCAGGAATCGGCGCTGATCATGGGCTAAATAACCCGCAAAATTTGCATTTTTACAATTATATTGTATTTAATCGCCCAATTCCCCGTGCATTACCGTGACGACAAGCAAATTTGCTTCTACGATTTGTGTACCGCCCCCCGGGTAACCATTTAATAAATCTCATTTTTTATGAATCTCACGGCACACAGAAAGGGTCCCGGCCTACTTGCTCGTCCCCAAAAACCCCACAAAAAGTTCCTCTACTCAAGAACAGAAAGTCATAGAGTCAAGTATTTTGGGTGAAGGGGAAACCGCATTTTCCGGATTTGAAGTGGCACCTATCGCTTGGTGCCGCCACGACAAGGGTAGATGGTGCTCAGGGGCGCAAATTAGCCTCTTTTCCTCGACTGCCACGACAAGCTCTACAACACCATGGGTTGCAGGAAGTGTGAAAGTCGGTGGCTAATGCTCGTTTCTGTTAGTTCTTAGCCTAAAAAGCTTTATTCTTGTTACTCAGAACAAACTTTGAAACTTTGCTGTCACTGCCCCCTAATGGGTTCGTGAGCTTTCATTATATTATGGTCCGGCGAGGCTTCTCTCTCTCCCTCTCTCTCTCTCTCTCTCTCTCTCTCTCTCTCTCTCTCTCTCGCTGTCACCCTCTCACGCACTCAATCGCTCTCTTTAAAGGTTACTTTGAAAAATTGAAAAGTTAGTTTGAAAATAATAAAGAGAGCGAGTGAGAGACAGAAAGGGAGAAATCGAGCGAGAGCCAGAGAGAGAGAGGGAGAGAGAGGGAGAGAGAGAGGGAGAGAGAGGGAGAGAGAGAGAGAGAGAGAGAGAGAGAGAGAGAAAGAGCGAAAAGCGCAGTAAGCGAGAGTCAGAGAGTAGAGCTAGAGAGACTTGCTTTATTTTTCCTGAACTTAGATGTCGTTCCAAATAGCAATTTTCTCCTTTTCACAGTCGTTTTTCTGCTGCTGTTGCGGCAAACTGGAGTTTTGCAAATAAATTGAATTCACTAGAATGATATTTGTTAATAGGTATTTCAACGCAAAACCCATTTCCGTTCCCAGGCGCATTTTCCCTTTTCGACAGTCGTTTTTCTGCTGCTGCTGCTGGTGGCTAGCATAACAACGATCGGGTGGTATCGGGTGGTGGTGGTGGTGGGTATGTTCGGGGGGATGGAGGGCTAATCCGAAATGGGCGGAATTCCCCCCTTGACCCCTTCAATGGCCTTGGTTTTCGAGCACCCTCATCGCTTCCGACTTCCTCGGAAAAAGCCCCCAGAATTTTGCATAAAAACCTTGGGAGCTATTTTCTTTGTTGCGAAGACTGATTTTTGAGGTCAATTGATTTATCCGATCGGAACCAGGAATTTTCAGACTTCCGGCTCCCTTAAGCACCCCAATATCTTTTCAGTACAAAAACTCATGCTCCGGAAACCTTTTGGCGAGCACGAGTTTTCGAAATCCAGATTTTCCGAATTTTTTCATTTTTCCTTCGCTTTTGCGATGTTTCTTCCTTGTAATAACCACAAAAATACACACAAAAACCAGCGGAGGCCACTTTCTATGTTGCAAAGATTGGTGTTTGGTTTTATGGGCGTTTTTGGGGATGTCCGTGCGGGAGGGCAGATTTCGAACGGCGACCAAAATGTTGCCAATTGTTGTGGGCGTGTGTGGAATAAAATTTTGATGGCGGAAGTGAGGAGGTGTTGGTTGTTTGTTGCCTTTTTTGGCATGTCCTTTAGAGGATCTTGAGCGCCTAGGGGAAATTTTTGATCCCTAAGATCGGTATATATGGATAAGGTTTTTCTTTACTGCTTTGCATATTTTTTCCTATTCCATCGTGAAACTAGATATTTGAAAGTCGAAAAGCTTCCAGTTCACCTACGTATGTACTACCTAATTAGTCACAAGAAGTTTGCCCCTCAAAAAAGACTGGGATAAATATGCCGCGTAGAAAACAAGTTCGCCGAAAGCCGAAGCCGGCCCGGGCACAATCGGGGCTCAACATCTCGCCCTCCCCCCTACGATGCCCCGAACTTTCCCTCCATTTCCCTCTTTCCCGCGGAAAAAAGCCGGAATCTTCGGCGGCATTAACGGAAACTCGAGTGAATGTGGACAACAGGGTGGGTCTGGAACTTATGAAGCGATTGATCTGGGTATTTTGAAAGGAAGGAATGAAATTGAGTTGGAGGAGGGTTGGATGCGATGTTAGTGCTTCCGGCTCTTTGTTGGGACCCTTTACAACATTTTTCGTTACTTTTAATAGCCTTCTCTCTCGCGCTATCTCTTTATCTCTCGTTCTCTCTCACTTTCTATATATTTCCAGTGCTCGCTATCTCACGCTCTCTGCTCTCCTTCAACACGACCTAAGTGCTGAACGAAATTACGGGATTAATTCTATAATTAAACATCGTATTTCCTAAATATTGTAGGGAAAGATGGTAAATAAAAATCCAGCATTTTCACCTCACCCGATCCTCCTCTCTCACCCTCAGACCATCCCCCCTTCAGCATACGGTAATGTGGCGTTTTTCCACTTTTTCCTCACCCAGGAATGCCCCCCGCCATCCATTCCCTCCTTTCACACCTTTCTCCTGGTTTGCCATCCCGCGCGACTGAGCCGGGCCATTCATCTGGGATGGCCGCCACGAGGTTGAGCTCGTCCTCACTTTCTGGCGGAGCCCCACCTTCTCTTCCTCCTTTTTTCTTCTTGCTGAGATTGACGCGGAATTCCTGTGGACACCCACAGAACCGGTATTCTTTCGCATTTTCTTTTTGCGTCTTGTTTTGCCCTACTCTCTCGCGCCTTTCCCTTCAAATTATGCAGATCCGAGAGACTCGTGCCGTGGCATCATGGGAAAGGGTCTCTAAATGCTATTATATGCCACTGTGAGGGTCTGGTATGATTCTTAGACAGTACAGGTTATGTCGTAGGTTTCCACGGTATCCCGCAACCAGCTTAAGTAGATATGCTGCCAATCAATGCCATTTTATGCATAAAATGTTAAATTTTACTTAGTTTTTCTATATTTTTACTACTTACTACGCCAGATAAATGTAACTTGAATTTACATATCTTGTTCAAAGTGCATTTCGAACGGTAGATAGGGCTGTTTGGAGCCGTCTGCCGACTGGAGGATCAAATGGATTGGGACGGCCGGGGGGCTGTTGGTGACATATTTTGATCGGAGCAGTAGATAGTCGAGCTCGTCTCCTGGGGAGGCTCCTTCTAAAGCCCTTGTTCGGCCTCCCCTCCTTCAGAGATCACGGGCGGGAATCTTTTTTATTGATTTGGAGCTCGTAGGCGGTGGATCCAATTACGCTTGACCTCGTGTTGAGCTTGACCAGTTTTGAGGTGTTATTCGATTTACATTGGCGTCGATGGAAGACGTAGACTCTCTAAAAAATACAGCAAACGCTTTATATATATATTTTTAAGCCGAATCAAATGGAACTAGACCTTTGCTTATACCCTCAGAACTAAGCATGGAATTTACTTCAGAATTCGATAAAACGGCTTGCCACGACTTTTTTTATTTGCGCTACTACCTTATTTTATTAGTCTAAGGTGTCCTTGAAAATTCCGTATCTTTACTTTAATCGATTTCACGACGTAATCCAATCACTTGAGACTAACATACCCTCATAAAGACAGCGATTCGCCGCTTTTCCCAAAAGCCCAGGGGGAATCCCGGTCTATCCGGTACCCGACCTCCTTCCACCCTCTTTTTTCCGAACCGTTTTTGGGCGAAACGGAACACAACAAATTCCGCGCGACCCCGGGCGGCAGAAGCTGCTTTCGGTCGGGTTTTGATGGGTGCGGGGGATCGATTTTTTCATTGCGAACTGATTTTTTAAAAGCTACTATCGTTCTCCATATCTTTACATAAATCTATTTTTAGCAAAGCTTATAAGGCGAAAGAAGAGAATAAAGCTTTTAATTTTCGAAGCTCTTTTTGAAAGTTATTTTGAAAAATCTTTTGATCAACTACCCCTTCAAAATTGACCCAGCATTTTTTAAAACTTATTTTTAGCTACAACTTCCCCAAAGCAACCCACCCTAACCGAGGAATCCCTCTATTCCGGAGCCCAAATCCAATTAGGGGAACATACATCTACAGTGGGGCGAGCGTGTATGGGGGATATCCTTGAAAACAACAAGTTTTCCCCCGGAAAAACACACACATTTTGTGATCCATTAGGAGGGCAATGCATCAGCAACATTCATTGTTTACAGTGGGAATTTCCAGAAAGAGTTGGCTCGAAACTTTGGCGCCATTTTAGAGCGAGTTAAAATCGAGCTCAAGGTTGCTTTTCTGTTTAGAAATCCATAGTATAAAACATAGCATAAAAAGGATAGACCCGAAATTTTCATAAATCAATAAAAAAATAGCTAATTTTTCATAGCTAATGAGATATCTTCCTTAAATTCTAAAACTCTTCTCTTATGAGGTATCTCCGGAAATATTTTTTTATTTGCCGATTATCAGGTGCCATACAAAAAACAATCCCGCAATTAATATCACACACGCCGGGTGATTCCTGACGCGCCGTGTGCATAGGTGCCGTACGTACAGAAATGGAATGGCCTGAACGGGACAGAACAATGGACAAAACCGGCTCGTCCTCAGTCAAAACCATTCTCCCCCACTGCCCTCCCCTGCCAAGGCTTCTCCCCCTTTCCTAAAAGCCTTCTAGACCATTGGCACACAGCACAGGTGCACCTGGCAAAACGGAAATCTAGACTTTTTAAATTTTTCTTGGAGTAGGTATTTTTAGGAATTTTATTAGTATTTTTAAAACGTAAATTCAGTTAAATCGCCAGTTTTTGAACTTTTCTATGGTTTTTTACTGAATGAGCAGAGAAAACTCAGAAATCATGCTGTTAATTTTATGCAAAAAAACAAACACTTTAGATCGACGTTCGCGGTATTTTTCAAAGCGAAAATCTTTATAAATCACCAGCACTCGCACTTTCCTCTGGACTCTTTCTCTAAAATACACTATAACGAAAACACCCCCCTCCCACCCCGACCATCCCGATCTCTTTCTAGCCCATTTCTTCCGCCTTTCCGGGCGATCCCGCTGTTCGACTAGGGGTGTTTTTGGGAAGCAACAAAAAAGCATAACTGCCTCAGATTTAGGATCTTTTTAAGGCAGTGATATTTTAGAATAAAGAGTGAGACTCTGGTTAAACTATGTTGGATTCTTTGACTTCAATGTTTCCTTAAATGACAAAATGTTATAGAAAAAGTTGATAAGTGTATTTAACGATGATTATCGATATTCGATGATTTGACTTGCACGGCCCTTAAAAATGATCTATTTTAAACTGTTTGAATGTAAAATAACAGATTTGTACGGATTTTTGGAATGTTGAAATTCAAACCGCATGCCCAGCGAGGCGTATAAAACGCGCGCCGAAATTCTCAAGGAGGATGCCCTGAATAGGGGGGCTGTGGGATAGAAAGCAGGTTAAAAGTTCAGCGGCACTCTGTTCACTCATTCTTTCTGCGGCTCCCGATTTGCTCACTATCATTTGCGAAAGAGAAAGCCATTTTGCAGGCCGCGTGGTCAAATCGATTTTCTGGGGCACGGATCACCTGTTTTCGCTTTTTCCGATTTTTAAATAATTTTATTCGAATTAAATAAATTTATCCACTATATAAAACTAAATTTTACAGGTTTCTACAATAAACCAACTTTAATTCCCTTAATTGCATGCCTCCTGTTTACCCTTAATTCCTTATCATCCCCCGTCACTATTCATAGATCCCCCCAAAATTACACAATGCCCTTCGCATCCAGTTTAACAAAGTTTTCGCAATTTTCCGCGTCTCGTAGTACCCGAAAAAAATTTGAAAAATATTGGGGTGAGGTGACGGCGGGGGCAGACCCGCCTACCCCCCAAAAAATTTTCTCTCACACCGGCAGTACAAGGCAATCCGTGACGTACCGGTTTTTCGTGGGGGTCTACCGTAATTTTCTTTGCGGCATCTGGGGAATATTTGATTTGAGTCAGTAAGACAAGGATGCTACATCTTTTTGCGTTGTTTTGGTTTTGCTTTGATTGACGCTTATACTTATTTGCATTTTCCGTACAGTACGAATTTTTCCTGGAGTTGACCGTAATTTTTTATAGAATTTGGGTAATATAGAGAGCGTCAAAAGCTATGAAGTATAATATACTAATTTTATACCTTTGATTTGTGCGTTATTTATTTTAATTTTAACCTTATTTTACGTTTTCGTGACTCACTGGGTTTCATGTTTTTTTAATTGTAGTATTTGGGTAGTTTTGAAGATTATAGAAATTTGTTTGACGTCTTATGCTAGTTCCATAATCGTAATTGATTTATTAACGGCCGAATCAATCAATTTTTATTTTCAGGCATATATCCATAGCATACCAAGCTTTAAATCGGAAGTGGATCCCACCTAGACCCCCCAGAGTCCACCATGGACAACTATGTATGTGTCGATCCGCTGACAGCGAAACCTATCGAGTGCTGGAAGAAGTATTTGAAGCAGGGCCGAATTTCAGAACCAGCCAAGACGCTAAGGTAATTTTTTGGTAGACCATAGTCGCTCTCTCGCCCGCTATCTATTTCTCAGCTCTAATTTCAAGCCTGAAAACGATTTTATCATTTGCTTAAATCTTGAAATCGAGAAAATGACCCTCAATTTTTGGAGTAAAGAAGGGAAACGGCCGCCAAAAAGCGCGGGGCTAGATAAAATCAGTTGGGGTGGACCAAAGGGGGAGATACCCTGGATGAACCTTCGGATTGATTCTACCAACATTATATAGTAGAAAAGGAAAAGTGGAGGGATCGAAAGATTGATGATTTTAGTGTTTAGGCAATGCTCTTTGAAAGATAGTAAATCTTTTAGGTTGCGTTATTAGGTGTGGAAACGCGAAACACTAATTTGCATGCCAAACGCATTTTTTTCAGATTAGACGCGCCCATCCACGATCACAAAGTTCGATTTGTGTGCATATCAGATACGCATGAGAAGCTTGGTAAGACACAATTTTACTTAATCGGCACTAAAATACGATTTGCTTTTTAGAAATTAATATATTATTTTTGAATTTTAGATGAAGTGGTTGGTCTAGTGCCTGATGGCGATGTCCTCATCCACGCCGGTGATTTCACAAATTATGGAGACGTTGGGGAAGTGATCAAGTTCAATGCAGAGATTGGTATTTAGATTTTAAAGATAAAAATTGTAAAATTGATTTAGGCAAATTGCCTCATAAATACAAGGTGGTCATTGCGGGTAATCACGAGCTGGGTTTTGAGGATGGAGAGGTAAATCCTTAATATTATGCGAATTTTGACTATGCATCGTAATTATCTATTAATTTAATTTTTTAAACGCTGAATTCCGATATGCAAATTTTTCAGGAAATGAGTGAACGCCAACTGGCCGGCCTCAACATGCTAGGCATCACGAAAGCATATGAATTACTCTCAAATTGTATTTATTTGTGTGATAAGGAAATTAAGGTATTTCCTTTCTAAAAACAGCCATTGAATATGCTAATTCAGCTGTTCGGTCTTCGAATCTATGGGGCTCCCTGGCACTCGATGCCTGGGTATTCCTTCTACCGGCCGAGGGGCCAGAAAATTCTCCACAAATGGAACCAAATCCCGGCCGGCGTTGATGTGTTGATTACGCATACTCCACCACTTGGTATTTGCCATTTTTCTTAAATCATATAATTTAATATTAAGGCCACGGCGATTTTAATGCGTGGAACAAGATGGACGGGATTTTGGCGGGTGATGTGGAGTTGTTGAATACGGTCGAGCAACGGGTGAAGCCACGGTAAGGCTAGGTTAACGTGCTTTGTATAAGCTGAGCTTTTACATGATTTATTAAAACAATGAACCAATTACAAGCGTATTAACCGAGCAAAACAGATCAAAGTTGTCAAAAAACTGTAATTTGCGATATTTTAGTTTTTTCTGGGTTTAAGGCGTTAATTTGCATTTAGTGAAAACGGTATAATGGTTTCTATTTTTGGTCCCGAGTTAGATTTTTTTATGGAATGTTTAGCAAATCTAGAATCAAAAAATTAAGATTCTGATTTTGGATGTAAGTTATGAAAACACGAGCTTATTTCTGTCACGGTTTTAATATTTAGAATATGCATCAACTGTTTAAAAAACATATTCTTTTTAGTTATCACGTCTTTGGCCACGTCCATCAAATGCACGGCGCGACAACAAACGGACACACAAATTTCATCAACGCCGCCATCTGTGATCATAAATTGAGAAGCTGCTACGACCCGATCATCTTCGACCTCCCCCTCCCACCCGGCACGTCAAAACGCGACTTCCTCGAACAGTCCCCATCTGGTTCCCCTTAAATTTGCGTAGCCACCTAATTTTCATAATTTGCATAATTTCGGTTCTACATTTTGACAATTCTCTGATTTTTCGCCTTGCCACGCCCATCCCATCGAATACGGATCCACACTTTTCACTTTAGGCCTTGTTTTGCATAATTACCCTCCAGCAAAAATGGTCCCGAATTGCGCCTTGTACTCTTCGAAATGTACATTTTTGCATAATAAATTCTCAAAAATCTTGTTTTATTCGGGGGTCCAAAAAATAATGCCAAAAATCGGGACAGATGAGCCATGATATGAGGAGCGGAAGCGAGCAGCGGGAAGAATAGAAGAACAAATTCAGAAATTGATACAATCGATAAAAGCTCGAAATTGAGGGGGATACCATTATCACACAAAATTAGAATATGATTGGGTGAAATGTGGGGGGTGCGCGGAAAAGGAAAAAGACTAGGAATAAGAAAGACATAATGGGTTTTTCGGGGGGTTGAAGTTATGGATTTGACTTCAATGGACCTTTAAAATATGAAAAACTGGGTCAGGCGACTAAATATGGGGCCGACCAGAAAATGCCAATGGTTGATGCGGTGAGGAAAAATGTGAATAGGTAGAGGCAAAGGCGATCGACAACCTGAAATTTCAATGATCTAAAATTTATTTGAATTTTAAGCTTTTGTAACATTAATTTAATTTATATAGTTCATTCCTTACATCTAGTTATTTAATTTTAATATTAATAATCGACAAACCATTGCTGCATATTTCCAGTTGTTAGCTGCCGTTTCTTCACGATCATTTTCAATCATACGCTTGGTCACAATCTGCAAATTATACAAATTTTGAAGCACCGTTTAGCTTCCCTCTAACCGTCCCTTTAAAATTTTCAAAGAGATATTATACCTTCAATTCATTATAGATTCGATGCAAAACCAAAAGTGTTGCTTGTTGTCCTGCGTCCACAGGGGGTGGCGACTAAAAATCATGATTGGAATCTGGATTTGTAATCAAATTAACCTGTGAAATCTGTGAAATTGGCACCATGCCAAAGGGGCCGTGGCCGTTGTTGAGAGAATGTTGGGACTGGGTGGGGTGGAGGACTTTGACGAGGGTACGTTCAACATCGAATGAGTTCGATCTGGAAATGGATGGATTTATCAGTTGCCGTGCCTGTCCGTCCCTTTAAAGGGGGTGTGACATCAAAAAAAGCTGCGAAAATACTGCCACAACTAATTTTTCGCTTTTAAATCCATTTAAAACCATACCTAGACACACTCGTCGCTTCCTTAATGTTCCGAATCAACGATTCCGAATGTGGCCCCCTCGTCCTCCTGAATATGGGGGGCAATTTTGACCAGGAAAAATCGTAGCCCGGCCGTGTCATCCGAAGACACCACGGTAGCCAATACAGTAGGACGGAACGAGTCTAAAAGTTCATATTCAATTGTATACCAATTTTACCAAATGCCCCATCTCGTGTGTCTCCGAGGTACGGTAGTGGAGGTTCAGGACGTAGACGGTGAATACGGTAGATGCGGTTACGACAATCATACAGCATGTGAAGAAAATGCCTAGAAAGTTAGAATAACTAAATGTAGTTGCAATTAATTTTTAAACGCAAAATTTAACTTGACTTTGACTAAAAACCTAACTTGACTTTAATTAAATTTTCAAGCCAAGAGATGAAATATTAAATTATATATATAATTATAATTCAATTTACTTACCGAGTAGCGGAACGGCTTCTGAAGTTGGTGGTGACATCTCAGATACGATAGACAAGAAAAAACAAATTGACAGCAATACGGTAATTTCTAAAAGACCTTTTTTTAATAGGATGTATGGTCGCTTACGCAATGTAATCTTTTCCCCAGCATCCGGTGGCAATGTAAAGCCGAGCAACGTCATCATCGTCGTCAGCATGCAAGGCATAATTAAATTAAAGCCTAGATAATTTTTTAGCTACAGTAGTCAGCAAAAATACCGTAATACAGCGTCCGCCGCCTCAAATGCAAATAAAACGTCAGATCAAGATATGGCTGGGGGCAGCAGTCGTAATATTTGACGTTACGCGAGACGGTGGTCACTTAAGGTATGAAAGCTTGAGTTTAAGATATCATCTCCAACTTGGCAATGCCCATTCACCATTCTCCAAATATTCCGAGATGTCGAAACCGCCCTCAGCGGGTTGTAAGTCCAGTTTTTCACCGTCATACGTCCAGGAACCAAACTATAAAATAAGTATGTTATAGTTTTCGAATTTAAACTACATTATTTACCAATTTCGAATACCTACCTTGAAAAAGCAGACCTGCTCGTCAAAGGGGAACCATTTGATGTCAATCTAAAAATTATGAATTGATAGTTAAACGATGGGCCGATACCTTGCACGAAATCTTGAAAATCCCCGGCGGCACCCATGAGATTTTACCCGTATTGTAGACCAGCATATTTGTCGGATAGGTTGAGTCGAAATTTGAGTCGACACTAAAAATTAAGATCAAATAAAATAGTATTGACAAAAGAAGTTAGGATTAAAACAGCCTTGTAAACTTAAAAAATTTTGCTTATTGCAACTAAAAAGCTGAAGAGCAGCCGAACCGAAGAGCAGCTAAAATCTAAATCGATCTGCTTTGCGTGTTAAAACTCAGCTAATTTCGAATTTTCCTAGTTTCCATCCGCGCAATAATGAAAAAAAACGCTAAAACATACCTATTATACAAAAGAACGTCCGGTTTCCAGATTCTCCCAGCCGGAAATCGAACATCAGTGATATTACCATATTCCGTGATATCCCACATTAGCTTGTAGTCATTCCACGCCTAAATAAAGTCTTCACTATATACGCGCCTTTGACTTACATAATCGAGCCACGCATTCACATAAACAATTTGGTTCTTCTCGTCTACGTCGATGATCTGCTGGAGGGAGACCTTGAGCTGCACTTGTACGGCTTGTTTGTGGTTCTCCACGGGGCGTTCGAGGTTGTTGTAGTCGCGCATGAGTTCCTGGAAGTTGTAGTTTGAGATGGTAGATACAAGTTGTTATTATGAAAATGGATTTTGCTCGCGAATTAGCGTATTTTGCAAAATTGTGAATGTCGACCATTTCTTCTTTCGACATATTGAAAGCTTAACACTAAAACTTTTCAGCATGCGGGAATTTCGGGGATTGGCACTATAAACTTCAAAATTGTCAATTTCTATATTTTTCGACAGCTTTGACATGCAAATTACCTCGTACAATCGACGCTCATGATATGAGGCCGAGGCAAAGTAGAACAGCCACGACAGCCATAGGGGGCCGAGCAGAACCTGGAAAATTTCTTTTAAAGGGGGAGTGACATGATGATCGGGGTTTTTAGGACTTAGAGACGATATTATTAAGAACAAAATAATTATATCGATACTTACCCGCATGCGGTCATCGGGGAAGCATGCGCCGGCACCAACCCCAAATCGCGATTTGAATAGTTGTTGGCCGCGTTGGCTTATTGTAGCTGAAAAAATTGTCATTTCAAATGTATAATATCAGAAAAATACCTTGATAAAATCTGACAATTTAGAAAAGTGTAGAATATTAACAGAAAAAGAAGACAAAAATCAAAGTGACCATGAAATTTTTAAATTTTTGGGTATTTTAGAAAGTAAATTTTTTAAGCCGGTAAAAATTTAATACCCTTAAAAAACCAGACATTCAAAACACAACCGTTAACAGGTGCCTAGCGGAAATGAGAGATCGGATGTTGGTGCTTTTCAACGAGAAATGAGCGGAAAACCCTGACGGCGATGGGGATCCGGTGTTAGGAATGATGGGTAGAGGCAAAAGAAAGACCTGTTAGACAAGCCATTACAACCACATGCACTGACTGCTAAAGGGTGGACAAGGGGAGATCGACTGAAACAACGACCACTCAATATTCCACATAAAAACCACTCGAGAAACACGTGTTAAATCGGAGCAGCGGTTGACTGGGGTTTTTTGGGGATTTTGGTTGTATCCAGATGTTTTGAGGGTGGTTTAAAGGTATTTGGAAGGTTGTGGGGTTATAGATTTGTTTAAGAAATTAAATGATATCTGGATATTCAGTAGGTTTTATATGTCCACGCTAGAATTTAAGTGTTAAAACGTAGCTGATCTTGCCCCTGATCATTTTATGGGCTAAAGGAACATAGAAGGATGGTGTCCAAGGATTTTTTCAAGAAATATAATATTTGACGCGGGATTTTTATGTATTTTGCATACAAGAATTTTTTATAAATTGATTGTAAAAATTATTTTGGGGTTTCTCCCTTTTTAAAGCTTTTCGAAAATCTAATTTGATGCTTACGGCATTCAAAAATAGCTGGAAACCTAGGAACCTGTTAAAAAGGTGCCAAAATATGGGTTTTAGAAGAATTTTAAGCATGTTTTGCATAATAAAGTTAGATTTAGATGGTTTTAGCATAGCAGTATCATTTTTATAGTAAAAATACTCAAGGCACGCCTCCTAGACAATACTAGGCACGTAAAAAGCGGCTTTTTGTGCCCCTGAGGGCATATCTTGGGCTGGGTGTTCCGAGGGAGGATATGTGGAGACAAAGGAGAAAGATTTCTTTTCCACCATCCGCTCCCTTGGGATATGATGGCGACCGAATATTTCCTTTGCAACCTCTCGGTCGGGTGGTAGAAAAAAAGTTGCTAGGTTAGTTATTGAAAAAGTGGATTTGCTGGTGAGATTTGTAGCTTGAAATAAATTTTTGCCTGTGTTTTAATGGGTGCGGAAAAACAGAAAAGCGTAAAAAAGCTTAATATATATTTTTTGCCGCAAGAAAAAGACATTAGAAAAGTCATTTAATAGTGTAGATACATCTATTTCTCCAAAAAATGTAACAATAATTTGAATTGATTAAAAAATTCAAGAACACCAACGGCACAACATCAGTTTTTTAACATTTCAAAATCAATATCCACAAAACAAAATATACTACACCCCTCCCACCATGCAGACCTAATGATGAGCCCTGTCAAAACTTCCCAAGCACTCGTCTGGGAAAATGGGGCCACACGCCGCGCCTCGAAAGTGAGGAGACCCAACCACTGCTTTTAGAAGTAGCCCTCCCCGCCGTTGTCTTGGGTTCGATTTTTGCGTGTGCATAACCCGGAACTATATTTAGAAATTATGATCTATGCAAAGATAGGTGGGGGAGGCCTCAGAAAGGGCAGTTGGAGACGTTGGGTTCCTTTTCGCAGACGGGGTTGGCGAGGGGAAATTACGGTGGTTGGTCCCCGGGGGGAAGGAACACTTTGTAGGTTTCGGGTTTGAGGTTGGTAACGAGGCGATTCGTTTGGGGGGACAAGGTAGGGTTCTTACATCTGAGGACGGAGTTGGAGGGATGCGCTCGTTTAGAGGATTCGGCTGGCAGTGAGGAGGAGCTGTGGGGGGGGGGTGGAAAACAATAAAGAAATACAGAGCTGACTGGGAGGAGAAATCGATGCATTGGAGAATGCAATATTTTTTGTAGAATTTTTGGGATTTCGGATATTTTGGGTTCTATGCGAGAAAGAAGCTTTTTTTGTCATCAGAATGCTAAATTTTATAATGTCGAAAAACAGAATGCCGAATTTCAGAATATCAAAGTGTATAATGTTGAAATTTGAATACGTCGAAGTAATTTGTTGAAAATGGCGGAAAATCCGTAAAATAATATGCCAAGAACTTTGACATATGCAAATTTCGAGACGAAATTTCAATATTCTGGATTTCGCTTTTACAAATATAGATATTTCCTAGATAACGCATATAATAATTTTGTTAGAATATCGCATAAAAATTGATGCCATAGAAATTATCCAAATTCCCGAGACCCTCATCCTCACCCATTCACCCACTTCATACTCCCCATTGATCGAAAGTGTAAAAAATAGCCTAAAAACGAGACGGCAAAGCCATTATCGCCAGATGCCGAGCTAACTCTTGGATCCCCCTCAACCCCAATCTGTTCCGCCTGAAAACGATAAATATATGGAAGCCCTGCCCCACCAAAAGATCCGATCCCTTCAAGACGCCGACCAACCATCTTTAGCCACACACAAACACTGACAAACACACGAGACACTGCCTCACCAGCCCCTATTGAGGAGTGTCCGATTTCAGCTGTGCAACAACTACGCCAACGCGTACTATTGACGATTTGATGAGGGGGAATGGCGTGGGGGGTGTGATTTGGTCTTAAAGGTTTTGAAAAGGCAAAAATGGCTCTGGATTCCAGGCATCCGTAATTGGGATGATGATTCTTCCTTGAAATATTTTATTTGGATAGTTAGGATAGGCATAGGACGATACTAAATTTGAATTGTCAGGCAGGCGGCCGTCAAATAATTCTTTTGCTGCATTAATGAGAGGGACACGGAGTTTTTGGCGGCACTGTTCCTTGAAAAATAGTAATAGTAAAAAAAAACGGTAAAAAATAGTTAAAACTGGTAGAATGCAAATTTATAGATTTTTAGTTTTATGAATAGCATTCGACGTAATCCGAAGACCCGAAATCAATAGAAATCAAGGTCAATCAAGGTTTAAATGAATTCGTAAACCATCTCTCAAAAATCGACCTAATAGTAGCGTAAACCCAACCCAACCCCAATTCTTCGATACGACATTTGTGGTGGTGGAAGATTGTGGAGACAGTTGTTTAGCCAAGAGGCTTCTTCTCCTCCCCAAAGCCGTTCACACACAAAAGCCCCGGCCCCAGGGGTTTGATACTAAAAGGCTGCAGCCTTGAGTTATCACTCTTGCTGAGCGGGGACCCTGTATGTTGCTATTTCTCCCCCTAGATCTTTTGTGTCTCTCAGTCTAACGCTGGTGTCTGCTTACCTGGCGAAAGTTGAGAGGTAGCTGCATTTTTTTGACCGTGTCCACCTGTCTGGTTGTCTTTTTAAAAATTGGGTGAAATTTGTGACTAGAGTATTGTAGAGAAAAGTATGGTAAAATAAATGGAAATTAAAGGAAATAATACAAAATAAATTGATTGGCAAAAATAGGAAAGTAAATTTTGCTCAAAAGTGCGTTTCGAAGGGGTTTTTATATCGGCTCAAATCGATTAAAGCTAGGTCGTTGCATTAATGTGATGGGGTATTGAATATCTACTAAATATGGCGAAAATTTACTGTTCAAAAAATCGTAACCACTCAAAAAAGCAATGTACGCCGAGATACCATTGACATTTATTGATTTCACCAACACAAAACAGGCTAAAAGTACAGTTTCCAGCTATACGGAATATTAATACAAATTAAATTTCATACAAAATATACTGCACACAAAAAGGGTTGTGCAAAAAGCCAGAAAAATTGATTTTGTGAAAACAGACGCTAAGCAAAATGCGATTATCGTTATATAAATATTAAAGAGAACGACTAGACGAACCTATTCAAACGACACGCTAAATTTCCTGCGATCGTTCAATAATTACAATAAGAACACCAATCGTACGCTACAATACCATAGACACTCGAAACTTTCCAACAGACAAACGAAAGCCACCACTGTGGATTTATCCCCAACCCAAGACTTGCCAAGAAAAAAGGAGGGTTCCACCCCACCCGCCCCCCCCCCCACTGGAAATGGAATTGAATCGTATGGTGGAATGCCGAGAGGAGGAGGGGGATAATGGAGTGGAGAGTGTGATGGAAATGGACCTATGGGACCTCCCCTTCTATCCTCCTCTACCCCCAATAGAAAACGAAGGACTGACTGACTAGAAGAAGAAGGATGACGGCCCGGCCTAACCCAATCAAACAGTTCCCCTTTTTAGAGGGGCCCAATTTCTGAAAGACCCTACATCTGGCCCACGCATCTTCAGTAGTCCATCTTCTAGGAAGATGAAGGACAAGAAAAAAATGAAGGGGATTGGGCGGACCTACAGGGATGATGGAATTTTCGGATAGGGACGGGCGTTCGTCGTTTCACTAGATTGCACTGGGAATTGGGGGAGGAATTGTGGGGAAGGGAAGGATGGGTATTTAAAGGTGTGTCGACAGTATGCTTGAGTATGGAAACGTGCACTAATAAATCGTTGCAAACTGGAGAAAATATTAGTAGCAGTAAATGCTATACTTACCATCCGAAGCTTTTTGTTTTGAGCTATCGATCAAAAAGTCTATTCAACGTCGATATTATGGTAATAAGAGGTACAGTAATCCGTTCAGTCTGGACGACTGCGAAATCGAGCTGTCACTCTCCATTCAAATGGAATTATGATAGAGAATTGCAGACTATCGAGCTGTACTGACGTATTAATAGACAAGAAAACCTCTGTGTTTATGCATTAATAGACATATGGTGGAATAAAGAAATTACACTCTTGGCATAATTCCTATTGACAAATTTTACCCTAATATATTCAGAATTAGAATTTTAATTGCGACTACAATATTAGGGCGTGTCGACACATTAATGGTACATGCAACTCTACCTAGACGCATTAATGGAAACTTCGGCGAAATCCATACATCCAATCACCTAACCGGAAACCCCGGCCCAAACCGGCTAGACCCACCAAGGTCCAAAGGTGCGGCTAGGTGCTATAAATCGACGGCTGTGAACCGCCATCAATCAGTCCCCACCCCGTCCTCTGAAAAGACGGCACCGAAGAGGTAGAGGGCCAATCCGCGAAAACGAGAGATCGTTACGGGACCCCGGGGCGAAAGGCGGAGAATAACTTTAAAATAAGAGATAAAGGGCCCCGGGGGCTCTCGTTCGCACCTCATCCTCCCCCAATCCCGCTAACTGTAATCAATCATCCGAGGGTTGAGGGATGGGTCCCGTACGGATCAACGTTTGAGAAAGTAGCGGGGCGATGTGTTTCACTAGTGAGATTTGTTTTTTGGGATTAATACGGTGATTTGCAAGGCTTTAAGGTACAGTTTCGGCAAAATTAAAGGTGTTTAATGGAGCGTAGAGTACTGGATTCCTTAGGTAAAGTAGAGTTTTCGGGGATAAAATTAATCCCAATACATTTCCCACCAAATTTGTGCTCCTGTGTAAGTTCATCTTATTCTGCTCGTGCTCCTTTCAAGACCTGTTGTTGTCCGTTTGATTTTCTGATTATTAAAGCTTTAACCCACGTTCTTAAAGTCTTTAATCTTGATTTATTGTGTAAAACCAATAGACAATTTATGCAAGTAATAATAATTCAAACTACACGTCATTTTCTTTCATAAAACATCTCGAGATCATGCAAATAGATATGGAGCTGTGAGGACGATCCACAACACGGTACCAAGCAGCATTAAGGAGAAGATGATCAACCCAAGACGATCCACCACCAGTGCGGCAAACCTGGAATTTAATTGGATCCAACTTTACATACGTATATAAGATTTAAATAAAAAAATACATAAAAATTTTAGAATTGACCTCCATTCGCTTTCAACCAATTTATCTTCATGCGTATCGTCGTCGTGTTCTCGGATCATCTAAAAACCATATACCCAACTTTCCGCCTTTTCTACCTTCACATGGTTGTAAATTTTCTCCAAAACAGTCAGCCTCTTCGCCAATGCCGAATCTTTATGTTGTTGCTCATCGACTTTTACCTACGTCTCAAAATGAAAGACGAAAGATGCTTTCTTACCTGAAACATAAGATTATCAAAATTATCCTTCATCGTGTTGCTCATCGCGGCCATAAGTTTCAGAGGACCGGTTGTCTAAATTTTTATTAACATTACATTAACATTAACATTACATAGTCAAAAGCTGTCTTATTTTCTTCCTCTTGTTTCCGTTTCCGCTCCGCCCAGCTTTGACTAAAATCGGGTACCTTCAAGATGCAATAATTATACCGTAGGCTTTTCAAATCGTTCTTCCTCCGCGGCACCTCCATTCTCATGACATATGGCGCCCATTCCAATAGGAAATATCGCATCTAAACTCCTTGTTAGCATCAAATACGGCTATCATACCCAAAAATGCATCCGGTGAGTATTTTGGTGGACTCGAAAATGGTAGCTTTGTACGTAGACAGTGAATAACGTGGCAAATACCGACAACACCATACAACTTTGGAAGAAAATGCCTGAAATTTGCATATTCCAATTATTTTTGCATAATTTGCTTACCTAATAACGGAACAGCTTCTGACGTTTGAGGTGTCATTTCGTTCATCATCGTCAAAAAAATGCAAATCGCGAGGGAAACGGAAATTTGCAGCCCAACTTTTTCGCCGGATTCTGGTCTAAAAAATTTCTTAGAAATTAAGTGCTATTTCATACCTTAATGTAAACCCGAGAACATTCAAAATCATCGTGATGCAGCACGGCATAATTAAGTTAAATGCGTAATATCTAAATCCATATAATTACAAAATTATTTTAGTTATGAACTCACAACGTCCGTCGCTTCAGCTTCATATGGAAATAGACCGCTTGATACAAATCGTCTCCATATTCTCGTAATGTCATGTTTGACCAGGCTTCTAAGAGAATTAACATTATAAAACAACCTATATAAGCATACTGTCAACAATCCATTCTCCATTTTCCATATATTCCGAAAAATCGAATTCTCCTTCTCTCAGGTTTACTTGTCGAGGGTTATGAGTCCAGGAGCCAAACTTAAAAATTACCTTTATTTTATTAGGTAAGAATCACTTACCTTAAACCAACACATCTGGGTATCAAATGGAAAATAGGTCACGTCCAATTTACAGGAGATTTTGAAAATTCCCGGCGGCAGCCATTCCATAATGCCATTTGAATAACCAACAATATTTACTTTATAGGTGGAATCGAAAGAGGAGTCGACACTAAAAAGGTTTTCAATTTTTAATAGATGATACCTATTATAAAGTAATATATCTGGTTGCCAAACACTTCCAGCTGGATGCCGTAGATCCGTCACATTTTCATAATGCTCCGGATCCCAACGTAGGTTCTCGTCTGTCCATTGGTATTTAAGCCAAGCATTCACTTCGAGTTGTTCTTCTTTTTCATTCTAAATTAGGATTAAGTAATCATTAAATAAATTAAGGATCATACCATGTTAATTATATTTTGCATGATAACTCCAAGGACGACATCAACAGGTTTACTACTATCAAGCACTGGGCGCTCTTCTGAATTTGAATTTTGGAGATATGCTACTGAGGCTCACCTTTCACATAACCGGATAATAAATCATTGATCAGCCGGGCTTCAGGAGGCGAAGCTGAGACTCCTTGGAGGGTGAGGAGGAGCAAATATGGCCCGATGAACCAAATCATGTTCAGATTGTTGTCACATACTTCTAAAAATCAAAAAAATAATTTATTTTTACGAAAACAGGCAAAAAGCAATAATTACAAGTGAAAAACATGAATTTTATATATTTACATAATTTTTATCAAAGTTCAATCTCAAGCGCAAAAAAAGTTGTATGCCCCTGGTTGCAACCGAAAAGCCAGTGTGATGTCCAAGTGCCTCGGATCCCCCCTAAAAACAAACGATTGGCCCATTGCCGGCCACCTGTTTGATTTGAAGCTCACAAGAGCGGTACTACTGGAATCGAACGGAATAGTCCTCTAAAGGAATAGCCGAGCACTGGGTTGAGAAAGAGTTTGTTCAGAGTGGAGAGGAGGGGGAGTATCGGCAGAAGGAGAAGCCGCTTCTAGAGTATCCGCTAGGGACCCTCGTTTCCTTCTAGGAGACCCCCCGGTGGGGCTCAAACCCGATAATGGAAAAGAGCTAAAGCTTCTTTCCGGTGGGGGAAAAGGGGTTGAAAGGAGTTTGGGGTAAAAAGGGGATTACTGTGGAAGAGGTAAATATGAGAAATTTTATTCCCATTTTTTATAGCATCGTGTATCATTTCTATTGACGTTCATTATGCATACCGATATTTTTAACAATTTTCCATCCCCAGAATTTTTCAAAAATAATTTGATTGTCGATTTTATAACAACCTTAAGAACAAAATATTTACCAAAAAAAAATCGATGTAAGAAATGCTGCACAGCCTGAAAAATTGTTTTAAAGGTTCTCTAAATCCAAATTTTATATATAAGTGCTTCTTGTACGCGATTCATGTTCAAACTTCCGTCTTTTTGTCAAAATTCGTACCTCTTTGGGCCGGATTCTGCAAAAATGAATTCCCCGAATAATTTGCAGTCACCGGGCGTGTTGTTATGATTAATTGCGAATGGCACGACTGGGCCGACAATTACACCTGCAACAAAAGAAAGAGTAGTTTTAGGCCCACCAGATTCTACCGAATAATTATGTAAGGCATCTGCCCTTTATGAGCTAATTAAATAAAGCTAATGCTATAAAGCCCTCCATGAATTAACAATTTTAAGAACTATATTAATGGTTATGATACATTGATACATTTGTAATATAATAAACATTCGCTTTTATAAATTACAAAATTTTGTGTTGCTAATAAGCCAGTTAAGTAGTATCCTTTGTAATCTTAGAGCTTGCTTTTTGAGGACCCGGCAATCGGATTTTTATAGGATAAAAATTCCAAACGCCATATATTAATTTTATCTTTTTTTTAAAGTTGACCAATTGTATCCTTCACTTCCTATTGTATCAATCCCCACCCCCCCCCCCAATTCCTATTCGCCGATAGATCGATGCTATTTGCTTAGCCTGCTTTGGCGCGAGGGCATTTTCACCCCCAAACGAAAAATTCGCTATTTGTCTATAACGTAATGTTTCCAATTAATTGTAGAAATGACATTTTAAACCCAGGGTTATCCAGGAAATGAACTTCCCCTCTTGAAGAGTTTCACCACGAATCAATAATTTGCTTCGTTATCACAGATGGAAAAGCCAGGCTGGTATGATTCGTCGCCGCCAATTTCAAAACTTTTCGTTTGTTGCTAATTTGAATAGAAAAGCTTATATTTTTATGTGAGCAACTGTGGTTGCCATTGAAAGCTTTCAAACCATTGAAATCTCCGCCTTTGAATTTTTCCGCAGTTTTTCCTAGATGCTAATCTTTTCTCCGTGGTGGGGAAATGTTTTTGGCAAGGTCATGCTTGACTCAATGCACAACATTTTGCGTGCTTTCTTGCTCACAATTTTTTTACTTTAGATGACAAAAGTGGATTGAATTACAATAAAAATTCGCTATATGAATGTCTATACCGTCCTGATTATCTACAGGATTATTTATCTTACTTTGTTAATAACAAATAATCTTTCACAAATTTAGTATAACTCAAAAGAACGTCTCATACGAGTCAATTTACATACCAAATTTTCAACCCGGCAAAGCGATACCCGATGTTTTTACGAATTGTTTCAATGATCCGACGAACGACCTTTCAGTAACGCTCCCGAATATCACCACAAAAGATCTCGTAGTCCCTTTTGTTTGCCTCCAACTTCCACATTCAATTACACAAGTCAAATCACAATTCCCTCCAAAATCCAAACTTTTCCAGCCCAACAAATGCCCAGACGGGATGCGTTACAAGGGTATCTAATCTACTGCGCACTACTCACATTTTTAACGCTATATTTTGTGGTGACGAATTGGGTATCGCCCACAAAAAGCGTGGCTTATGGACCGAAATATAGCGGGCAAGATTTTGCGGAAGATGAGCCACGCTATCGTAAGCTACCCTCAAAAGTGTACCTTTTTTAGCAAGCCAAAACTCGCTCCCCAGTGTCAACAATGAAAACGCGTCGATAGCGCTTGTGTACATAGTAAAGGATCGTAAAAATGAGGCCGATTATCGAATCGCGGTCAACTCGGCACGTTGCTACGCAGAGGTACTTTTATTAAATCTCTAAAGTTATATTCTTGTTCTCTCCCTTTCTCTCTCTCTCTCTCTCTCTCTCTCTGTCTCTCTCCGTCTCTATCTCTTATTCTATATATTCCTTAGGTCCACAAATATGGATTAATATATGTTGATTATAATTCGAGCAAAGAACTTCAAAAAACATGCCCGCAAGATGATGTAAGTTTAGTGATTTAGTGTTAAGTTTGATGAATTATTCTATAATTTGGAACTTATAATTTTAGTTCTTTTTCACACGTCATTGTTTGATGAAAGATGTTTTGCGTAAATCCGACTATGAATTTTTTCTATTCCTCGATGCTGATATTGGGGTAATAAACCCAAGGCGCCGGTCTGAAAATGTGAACATTATTTATAAAAGTTTAGGATAGAGGAATTTCTCCCAAAAACCTCGAGCGTTAATGTAATGTTTTACAACAGGTTTTACAACGATGAAATTATGGCTGGATCTTACATTTTGCGGTAAGGATACTAACAAGGGAACCACCTAAGGTCAAGGTGGCGTTTCGTTACGGGACCCAGCTTATTTTGTGCAGAATTTTTTTGCTGATTTCGAATCCGCTTTTATTTTTTGCTAAATAGGCCAATTTAAAAAGTTATAGCGCTTCAAAGTTCCATTTTTTTCCAAATTTTCGAACTTCAAAGTCATTTATCTTGCCTTTCCCGTCAGATTCCTGAAAAATGAATATCGCCATCGTATTCAGAAAAATTTTCTCTATCGAATGAATTATTTAACTCAAAATTGTTGAAAATTGAAAAAATCGACGATACTTGGTATGGACTCCGTTTTTTGTATGGGAAATGGTGAAAAATTGCCTATTTCACACCCCCGTAAGTGATCGTCGATAGGTAGTAGCGCACTAATGAAATATACCAATCGAATCAGAAAAAAATTCTCTACAAGATAGGCTATTCAAAATCGACTGCCTTATTAAAATAAAAAAGTTGGGCATCGTGACAGATGACTTCCCCGCGGGCACAGATATGACCTTAAAATCGCTATAACTTTTTAAATTGAGCTATTTAGCAAAAATTGAAAGCGGGTTCGGAATCAGCAAAAAATTCTACACAAAATAGGCTGGGTCCCATAACGAAACGACACCTTGACCTTAGGTGGTTCCCTTGTAAGTAATAAGTAATTTTTAGTTATTATTCAGAAAATCTAAACAAGCCTCCAATTTTCTGCAACTTTGGGTGGACTATATGGAAAAAACGGACGCTATTCCGCTGGGTGGTACCGATAATGGGGCGATACAGGTTTATTTTACTACCACCAATTCAAAAAAATCTTTTTAGAGCGTAGTCGTCGAATTTTTTATGCCAGAAATGGCACCACATCGCAAAATTTGCGAGAAAACATGGCTAAAATCAAGGTAGAGGTCAAATAACTTGCCATATCTAAAGTTTAGGAATTTCGACGAGTTATTCCGCTATGAGGCTTGTATGCAGTATTTAATTTCATTAGTGCCAAAGGAAGAGTTGGCGAGACGAGGATTTGTGTTGTACGATAAGGGTTGGTGTCTTGAACCTGAATTTTGATTAATGATGTGACTAAGGGGTCGGAGCTAGGAGTTGGTTTCAGGTTTTAGCTCCCAGCTTCCATTTTGTATCAGATTGTCCCATCATTATTTTCAAAAATTTAATGTCGATTGACCATATCGAAACACTAGAATTTCGCCATTCCATAAATCAAACGACCGGATAAATCCAAAAATTGCTTTGATAAATTTTCGGCTTGTGTGCTTTCGGCATTTGGAAAAAGTTCAAGTAGCTTCCTCTAGCTCCAAGCTTATAGCAACATTTATTGATTCTTTAGGCCAAGGTTGGTCCCGTGACGGCTGGATTTCCGGCACGACCTGGTGTGGTCGCGACCTATTCTTCCACGGCTGGAAAAAACAGTACACTACCGCCTTCTTCCTAATAAATTTTATCCTTCAGAAAACTCGGCGGAGAATGGGTCCTCCCATTCACCGGCGAAGATATCTTCGATAAAAAATGCTCGCCAAGCGAAGTGCAGAGATGGAGGTGAGAGTCCACAAAATTAAAAAAATGAAATTTTTAGCTACGCTCCTAAACTCAACATTTCATGCCTAGCGCTGGACCTGAAGCTACATCAATACTACCTGGAAAAGCGGACAGCCTACTACAAACACCTGGAGACACTGGCAGAACAGGATCTATTCCCTGTAGATGCTTATAAGCAATTTGGGCTATAGTCCTGTATCATGCCACCTTTTACAGTATTGAAATGTGCCAAAAATTAATTTATATTGTTTTGAAGTAACACGGGTCAACCAAATTTTTGATTTCCTGCAGGGTTTACTACTGATAAAAAGTTTTTTCTTTCTATTGTTTTGTATATAAGTCCCACAAAAATCGCGCGAGACAAACGCCCAAGCAAAACCTTCCAATGCCATTTGAAATTATTCTATAACCAGGGTTGAAAAGCCGCTTCGCGACTTTTCAACCCTGGCCCCGTCTAACCCTATGATGTTGTTTTTGCATAATTCTGCCCCAATTCCGATGACAAAAAATAAAAAACGCTGCTTTTGAGCCTTTATATAGGCTACCGCGACTTCCGGCGTATGCTAATTTTATCCTAACAAAGTGGGTGTCGGAATTTTCAAGAAAAACTTAATTTTAATGTCGAAAACACCATATTTTACAAAATCCGATATGTGTGCAGTCATCTCCAGCCCCTTACGCATCTAATGACGTATCAAACACCTCCTCAAACCCATCCCCTCTCGAGATATCCTCTGGACACCCTGACGGAAGTTGCATGCAAATGCACACACACACACACAAAAACACTATTTTTTTATATATAGTAGGATATATAATAATCCCGTATATTATATGTATTCCGTGTTTTCTGGGCAGTAAAAACGTTTTTGACGTTAAATTAGGAATCTGCATAAAAAAATGGACCTGGAGACTGGTATCGCACATGAAACTTTTGATTTTAAAGGACCCCCGAAGTCTGGCACCTCCCTTATCAATTGATGAACTCGGCGTTTTCTAGCCAGTAAAACCGTTTTTGCCGTTGAATTTGGAATCTGCATAAAAAATGGACCTGGGGACTGGTGTCGCACATGAAACTTTTGATTTTAAAGGACCCCCGAAGTCAGGCATCTCCCATATCAATTTAATGGATTCGGCGTCTTCTAGCCAGTAAAACCGTTTTTGACGATGCATTTGGAATCTGCATAAAAAATGGACCTGGAGACTGGTATCGCACATGAAACTTTTGATTTTAAAGGACCCCCGAAGTCTGGCACCTCCCTTATCAATTGATCAACTCGGCGTTTTCTAGGCAGTAAAACCGTTTTTGCCGTTGAATTTGGAATCTGCATAAAAAATGGACCTGGGGACTGGTGTCGCACATGAAACTTTTGATTTTAAAGGGCCCACGAAGTCTGGCACCTCCCATATCAATTGATGAACTCGGCGTTTTCTAGGCAGTAAAACCGTTTTTGACGGTGAATTTGGAATCTGCATAAAAAATGGACCTGGAGACTGGTGTCGCACATGAAACTTTTGATTTTAAAGGAGCCCCGAAGTCTGGGACCTCCCATGTCAATTGATCAACTCGGCGTTTTCTAGGCAGTAAAACCGTTTTTGACCGCGAATTTGGAATCTGCATAAAAAATGGACCTGGAGACTGGTGTCGCACATGAAACTTTTGAGTTTAAAGGAGCCCCGAAGTCTGGCACCTCCCATATCAATTGATGAACTCGGCGTTTTCTAGGCAGTAAAACCGTTTTTGACGGTGAATTTGGAATCTGCATCAAAAATGGACCTGGAGACTGGTATCGCACATGAAACTTTTGATTTTAAAGGACCCCCGAAGTCTGTCACCTCCCTTATCAATTGATGAACTCGGCGTTTTCTAGGCAGTAAAACCGTTTTTGACGGTGAATTTGGAATCTGCATAAAAAATGGACCTGGGGACTGGTGTCGCACATGAAACTTTTGATTTTAAAGGACCCCCGAAGTCTGGCACCTCCCATGTCAATTGATCAACTCGGCGTTTTCTAGGCAGTAAAACCGTTTTTGACGGTGAATTTGGAATCTGCATAAAAAATGGACCTGGAGACTGGTGTCGCAAATGAAACTTTAGATTTTAAAGGAGCCCCGAAGTCTGGCACCTCCCATATCAATTGATGAACTCGGCGTTTTCTAGCCAGTAAAACCGTTTTTGACGGTGAATTTGGAGTCTGCATCAAAAATGGATCTGGAGACTGGTGTCGCACATGAAACTTTTGATTTTAAAGGAGCCCCGAAGTCTGGCACCTCCCATATCAATTGATGAACTCGGCGCTTTCTAGGCAGTAAAACCGTTTTTGACGGTGAATTTGGAATCTGCATAAAAAATGGACCTGGAGACTGGTGTCGCACATGAAACTTTTGAGTTTAAAGGAGCCCCGAAGTCTGGCACCTCCCATATCAATTGATGAACTCGGCGTTTTCTAGGCAGTAAAACCGTTTTTGACGGTGAATTTGGAATCTGCATCAAAAATGGACCTGGAGACTGGTATCGCACATCAACCTTTGGTTTTAAAGGACCCCCGAAGTCTGTCACCTCCCTTATCAATTGATGAACTCGGCGTTTTCTAGGCAGTAAAACCGTTTTTGACGGTGAATTTGGAATCTGCATAAAAAATGGACCTGGGGACTGGTGTCGCACATGAAACTTTTGATTTTAAAGGACCCCCGAAGTCTGGCACCTCCCATGTCAATTGATCAACTCGGCGTTTTCTAGGCAGTAAAACCGTTTTTGACGGTGAATTTGGAATCTGCATAAAAAATGGACCTGGAGACTGGTGTCGCAAATGAAACTTTAGATTTTAAAGGAGCCCCGAAGTCTGGCACCTCCCATATCAATTGATGAACTCGGCGTTTTCTAGCCAGTAAAACCGTTTTTGACGGTGAATTTGGAGTCTGCATCAAAAATGGATCTGGAGACTGGTGTCGCACATGAAACTTTTGATTTTAAAGGAGCCCCGAAGTCTGGCACCTCCCATATCAATTGATGAACTCGGCGTTTTCTAGGCAGTAAAACCGTTTTTGACGGTGAATTTGGAATCTGCATAAAAAATGGACCTGGAGACTGGTGTCGCAAATGAAACTTTAGATTTTAAAGGAGCCCCGAAGTCTGGGGCCTCCCATGTCAATTGATCAACTCGGCGTTTTCTAGGCAGTAAAACCGTTTTTGACCGCGAATTTGGAATCTGCATAAAAAATGGGCCTGGAGACTGGTGTCGCACATGAAACTTTTGATTTTAAAGGAGCCCCGAAGTCTGGCACCTCCCATGTCAATTGATCAACTCGGCGTTTTCTAGGCAGTACAACCGTTTTTGACGGTGAATTTGGAATCTGCATAAAAAATGGACCTGGAGACTGGTGTCGCACATGAAACTTTTGAGTTTAAAGGAGCCCCGAAGTCTGGCACCTCCCTTATCAATTGATGAACTCGGCGTTTTCTAGGCAGTAAAACCGTTTTTGACGGTGAATTTGGAATCTGCATCAAAAATGGACCTGGAGACTGGTGTCGCACATGAAACTTTTGATTTTAAAGGAGCCCCGAAGTCTGGCACCTCCCATGTCAATTGATCAACTCGGCGTTTTCTAGGCAGTAAAACCGTTTTTGACGGTGAATTTGGAATCTGCATAAAAAATGGACCTGGAGACTGGTGTCGCACATGAAACTTTTGAGTTTAAAGGAGCCCCGAAGTCTGGCACCTCCCTTATCAATTGATGAACTCGGCGTTTTCTAGGCAGTAAAACCGTTTTTGACGGTGAATTTGGAATCTGCATCAAAAATGGACCTGGAGACTGGTATCGCACATCAAACTTTGGTTTTAAAGGACCCCCGAAGTCTGGCACCTCCCTTATCAATTGATGAGCTCGGCGTTTTCTAGGCAGTAAAACCGTTTTTGACGGTGAATTTGGAATCTGCATAAAAAATGGACCTGGGGACTGGTGTCGCACATGAAACTTTTGATTTTAAAGGACCCCCGAAGTCTGGCACCTCCCATGTCAATTGATCAACTCGGCGTTTTCTAGGCAGTAAAACCGTTTTTGACGGTGAATTTGGAATCTGCATAAAAAATGGACCTGGAGACTGGTGTCGCAAATGAAACTTTAGATTTTAAAGGAGCCCCGAAGTCTGGCACCTCCCATATCAATTGATGAACTCGGCGTTTTCTAGCCAGTAAAACCGTTTTTGACGGTGAATTTGGAGTCTGCATCAAAAATGGATCTGGAGACTGGTGTCGCAAATGAAACTTTAGATTTTAAAGGAGCCCCGAAGTCTGGCACCTCCCATGTCAATTGATCAACTCGGCGTTTTCTAGGCAGTAAAACCGTTTTTGACGGTGAATTTGGAATCTGCATAAAAAATGGACCTGGAGACTGGTGTCGCACATGAAACTTTTGATTTTAAAGGAGCCCCGAAGTCTGGCACCTCCCATATCAATTGATGAACTCGGCGTTTTCTAGGCAGTAAAACCGTTTTTGACGGTGAATTTGGAATCTGCATAAAAAATGGACCTGGAGACTGGTGTCGCAAATGAAACTTTAGATTTTAAAGGAGCCCCGAAGTCTGGGACCTCCCATGTCAATTGACCAACTCGGCGTTTTCTAGGCAGTAAAACCGTTTTTGACCGCGAATTTGGAATCTGCATCAAAAATGGACCTGGAGACTGGTGTCGCACATGAAACTTTTGATTTTAAAGGAGCCCCGAAGTCTGGCACCTCCCATGTCAATTGATCAACTCGGCGTTTTCTAGGCAGTAAAACCGTTTTTGACGGTGAATTTGGAATCTGCATAAAAAATGGACCTGGAGACTGGTGTCGCACATGAAACTTTTGAGTTTAAAGGAGCCCCGAAGTCTGGCACCTCCCTTATCAATTGATGAACTCGGCGTTTTCTAGGCAGTAAAACCGTTTTTGACGGTGAATTTGGAATCTGCATCAAAAATGGACCTGGAGACTGGTATCGCACATCAAACTTTGGTTTTAAAGGACCCCCGAAGTCTGGCACCTCCCTTATCAATTGATGAACTCGGCGTTTTCTAGGCAGTAAAACCGTTTTTGACGGTGAATTTGGAATCTGCATAAAAAATGGACCTGGGGACTGGTGTCGCACATGAAACTTTTGATTTTAAAGGACCCCGAAGTCTGGCACCTCCCATGTCAATTGATCAACTCGGCGTTTTCTAGGCAGTAAAACCGTTTTTGACGGTGAATTTGGAATCTGCATAAAAAATGGACCTGGAGACTGGTGTCGCAAATGAAACTTTAGATTTTAAAGGAGCCCCGAAGTCTGGCACCTCCCATATCAATTGATGAACTCGGCGTTTTCTAGCCAGTAAAACCGTTTTTGACGGTGAATTTGGAGTCTGCATCAAAAATGGATCTGGAGACTGGTGTCGCAAATGAAACTTTAGATTTTAAAGGAGCCCCGAAGTCTGGCACCTCCCATGTCAATTGATCAACTCGGCGTTTTCTAGGCAGTAAAACCGTTTTTGACGGTGAATTTGGAATTTGCATAAAAAATGGACCTGGAGACTGGTGTCGCACATGAAACTTTTGATTTTAAAGGAGCCCCGAAGTCTGGCACCTCCCATATCAATTGATGAACTCGGCGTTTTCTAGGCAGTAAAACCGTTTTTGACGGTGAATTTGGAATCTGCATAAAAAATGGACCTGGAGACTGGTGTCGCAAATGAAACTTTAGATTTTAAAGGAGCCCCGAAGTCTGGCACCTCCCATATCAATTGATGAACTCGGCGTTTTCTAGGCAGTAAAACCGTTTTTGACGGTGAATTTGGAATCTGCATCAAAAATGGACCTGGAGACTGGTATCGCACATCAACCTTTGGGTTTAAAGGACCCCCGAAGTCTGTCACCTCCCTTATCAATTGATGAACTCGGCGTTTTCTAGGCAGTAAAACCGTTTTTGACGGTGAATTTGGAATCTGCATAAAAAATGGACCTGGGGACTGGTGTCGCACATGAAACTTTTGATTTTAAAGGACCCCCGAAGTCTGGCACCTCCCATGTCAATTGATCAACTCGGCGTTTTCTAGGCAGTAAAACCGTTTTTGACGGTGAATTTGGAATCTGCATAAAAAATGGACCTGGAGACTGGTGTCGCAAATGAAACTTTAGATTTTAAAGGAGCCCCGAAGTCTGGCACCTCCCATATCAATTGATGAACTCGGCGTTTTCTAGGCAGTAAAACCGTTTTTGACGGTGAATTTGGAGTCTGCATCAAAAATGGACCTGGAGACTGGTGTCGCACATGAAACTTTTGATTTTAAAGGAGCCCCGAAGTCTGGCACCTCCCATATCAATTGATGAACTCGGCGTTTTCTAGCCAGTAAAACCGTTTTTGACGGTGAATTTGGAGTCTGCATCAAAAATGGACCTGGAGACTGGTGTCGCACATGAAACTTTTGATTTTAAAGGAGCCCCGAAGTCTGGCACCTCCCATATCAATTGATGAACTCGGCGTTTTCTAGCCAGTAAAACCGTTTTTGACGGTGAATTTGGAGTCTGCATCAAAAATGGACCTGGAGACTGGTGTCGCACATGAAACTTTTGATTTTAAAGGAGCCCCGAAGTCTGGCACCTCCCATATCAATTGATGAACTCGGCGTTTTCTAGCCAGTAAAACCGTTTTTGACGGTGAATTTGGAGTCTGCATCAAAAATGGACCTGGAGACTGGTGTCGCACATGAAACTTTTGATTTTAAAGGAGCCCCGAAGTCTGGCACCTCCCATATCAATTGATGAACTCGGCGTTTTCTAGGCAGTAAAACCGTTTTTGACGGTGAATTTGGAATCTGCATAAAAAATGGACCTGGAGACTGGTGTCGCAAATGAAACTTTAGATTTTAAAGGAGCCCCGAAGTCTGGGACCTCCCATGTCAATTGATCAACTCGGCGTTTTCTAGGCAGTAAAACCGTTTTTGACCGCGAATTTGGAATCTGCATAAAAAATGGGCCTGGAGACTGGTGTCGCACATGAAACTTTTTATTTTAAAGGAGCCCCGAAGTCTGGCACCTCCCATGTCAATTGATCAACTCGGCATTTTCTAGGCAGTAAAACCGTTTTTGACGGTGAATTTGGAATCTGCATAAAAAATGGACCTGGAGACTGGTGTCGCACATGAAACTTTTGATTTTAAAGGAGCCCCGAAGTCTGGGACCTCCCATGTCAATTGATCAACTCGGCGTTTTCTAGGCAGTAAAACCGTTTTTGACCGCGAATTTGGAATCTGCATCAAGAATGGACCTGGAGACTGGTATCGCACATGAAACTTTTGATTTGAAAGGACCCCCGAAGTCTGGCACCTCCCTTATCAATTGATGAACTCGGCGTTTTCTAGGCAGTAAAACCGTTTTTGACGGTGAATTTGGAATCTGCATAAAAAATGGACCTGGGGACTGGTGTCGCACATGAAACTTTTGATTTTAAAGGACCCCTGAAGTCTGGCACCTCCCATATGAATTGATCAACTCGGCGTTTTCTAGCCAGTAAAACCGTTTTTAACGGCGAATTTGGAATCTGCATAAAAAATGGACCTGGGGACTGGTGTCGCACATGAAACTTTTGATTTTAAAGGACCCCTGAAGTCTGGCACCTCCCATCTCAATTTAATGAATTCGGCATTTTATATTTCGTTTTCACTGCATTTTTCATCTGAATGCTTGGTCTTTTTTTGTGGTAACTAAATCAACAGTTGCGCATTTGGAAAAATGGCTACCAGCAAGCGCTCGGCTGTATACAAAACGGCTTAACAATGCCCGGGCATCAGTCCGGCCCCTCCTTTTAGACAAACATTTGCAGGGCGCACATTCCAGATTCCGAGTTTCAAAAAGTTAGTTTACAATTTGTTTCGATTCCCTCATTTCTTGTGTAATATTAGCTACTGGAGGTATGCTGGGTTTAGGTGAGGGAGATTTGGGGGGTAAACAGTACGGCTTCCGATCAGCCACAACAAAAACTGTGTGCAGGTCCTCGGAAAAGTCTCCCTGATTACTCAAACTATGGCTCATTGTTTGGCTTTGGGGCTTTCGATTGGGGGATTTGGGGCAGTTGGTTTTATTGATGGACTTTTGTAGCTAGTGCTGGTAAATTATTTCAATGATTATTGTTAAAAGTTTTGATTTTAGAAAGTTTGTTGTTATTTTTTAGTCTAATCGGCTAAGAAATAATTTTCAATTTTGGGTGTGGCAGCCACATGCAACGCATCTGCAGCTATCCGATTACGCAATGAAGGTTCTCGGCGTGCTTCGCGTCTGCGTTGCGCCTCGCCGATATGAGAAAATTGGGGCGGACATCCGACCCAGCTATGTGAGTATGTGCATCTTGTAGAGCGCCACGAGACGAATCGATTTATGTAACATTTAGCTGCGGATACCTTTTTTAATAAAGTTACAGTTACAAGGGTTAAAGTTTTTCGCGGTACCTTCATAAGCCCTCCCCACACCCCAACCTCACGATTTTTATTTTTTTGCTTTTTGGTCGAAAGCTTCCATTTTGCATCCCGATGGACTACATTAACTTTTTTTTTCATTTTTTATCTCCAGCACCCACATCAAAGAAGTTGGTGACAGTATTCATTGGTGTTTTTTTGCAAGTTTCACCCACACCAAGGTCTCACCATGACCGAGCCATGACTATAGCTCGAAAAATCCTCTGTGTTCCGCTTATGTTTATTTAATGGGGGGTATGATTCGAAAAATGAAAAAAAGTTAATGTAGTCCTTCGGGATGCAAAATGGAAGCTTTCGACCAAAAAGCAAAAAAATCAAAACCGTGAGCGGATCCGTACCCTCCTCGCCATTAAAAAGAAATTAAAAGGTATCCGCAGTTAAAAGTTACATCAAACGAGTCGTCTCGTCGAGCTCTACAAGATGCACATACTCACATAGCTGGGTCCGATGTCCGCCCGAAAACATTCCCTAGTTAGGTATTTTTCTTACGATCCGCAAGACGCTTCTATTTTTGCATGGCGTCACGCGCCAGCGTGTGATGCGTTGCGTGTCGCGACGCAACTAATCCACGAACGCGTCTTGCCAGTCCCTCTAATATAGCTCAACATATGAATACCTTAACGTATTTATCATCATTCCCAAACCAAAATGTTGCGTGAAAAACACCCGGCAATCAACAGTGCGAAACCAACAAATAGAACTCCTCGAGTGTCTGACCGTTCGAAAATCCCACACCCGCACTCGAAATGAGGCGCTTTTTCGGGACTCTTCTCCCCCCCCGCAATTTGTCATCGAATCCATCCCCTGGCTTTTCTTGGTATTTTAGCCCCCATTATTACGCTAGTTTTCACGTGACATCTACTATATTCTCTGTAACATATTGCTTTGGTCTTTAGAAAATGGCTGCCGGCTGGAAGCACTTCACGGGAAAATCTCAATATCCGGAGCTGACGGCTAACAGCACGCACTCGCAATTTACATATGGAACGAAACGGGATCGTGGGTATCGAATGGGATGGGTGAGTGTTTTGCATATCTTTTCAAACTAGACCAAGATTTTTTGCAGTAACTAATTTTATCTTTCAGATCCAAGGCCGACGCGACGAGCGTGAGGAGCGAAATATGCTCAACTGGGTCTCGAATGTAATTTTTTATTTTTTATATTTTATATAAAAATTTAGATTTCTGGCCAACGAATCGATCAGAGTGATAGTGAAATGGCGCTAGAGCAATTGCATGATGGTATCATCTTATGCGAGTGGGCTTTACAGTCTTTCAGTTTTTGAAACGTTAGATCCTGGTTTTCTCTGCGTGGAGATTTCATTTTATAGATTTTTAAATGGCTTGAACCCGCACGCCCTAAACCGTCCGATCAGCCATAAAAAGTCGCTGTTTGCCGCCACGGAAAATATGACGAATTTTCAGGTTTGAAATCTGTTAAAAATCAGCTAACGTTGTTTAGGAAAGCGTGCTAAATTTTGGGCTACGACAGGCTGAATTGTTCCCACCAAACGAGGTGAATTTAATTGTTTACGCTACATTCGACCATGGTACGATATTTATCTATTTATTTAGTTACTCGAAAAGCGTTCCCTCGATGGATTGATCCGCACGTTGAATGTGTTGAAGTCCAAGGTATTACTGAACTATCGGATAACCCCCTTTACAGTATCCATTTCAGTTGAATGCTCAGTAAATCAAGGTTTATTCGGAGATACGTGAAGAATGAGATGAAACTACGATGTTATTTTATGCAAAATAAAGGAATGGCAATTAAAGCTTGGTGTTAAGATTAAAATATATGCAAAGTTAATAGCGAAGGTGACGGAGTGTGCGGCGGAAGCGATTGTAGCGCTCTTGGTTTTTGTCTCCAGGGGCAGCAGGTGCCTAAAAATTTTAATAAAATTATGCAGCTCTGGATCTTTATCCGGAATAAGCTTAAACATGATCTTCTCTTACATTGGTAAGTACAGTAGCCTTGCTCTTGGCCAAACATTTCATTCCCCCATTTTTGCATGTCGTAAGAGCCTCCTTTGTCAGCTCCCCAATGAACATGGCGCAGAAATCGATTTGCTGGATGCAGACGCCGACTTCCATTTTGCATCTGGAAATTTTAGCAATTAGCTTAGGCACCGGGGAATACTTTTGCATCAGAGTCTCGCACTTGTCGATGACAAGTTGCGGATCGTTGCCGCTGTTCTGCGGGGTGTAGGTGGTGCGGCAACTTGTGGATAGTTTTTGGCATTGCCTGAAAAACGTTGAAGCTTTTAAAAAGGCCTTGAAGTTAAGATTCTGCAAAAATGATGGGCGCATTAATGGAAGGTGGCCTTGCCCGGCTAATTTTTTTTGCTATATCAGCTGAAAAATGTACATAATATTGCTGACAATTTGAACGTATACACTTATAAGGATGGATTCATTAAATTTTTTGAATTAATTGTTAATTGAAATTAGATTAACTGAAATGAATACTTTTCACGAAAAATTTATAAAGCCGCGATTTGCATAAATACTACAAGAACTTACTTATCCCCGGCGTCCCGTACAGCTTCCTGAATAGTCGCCAGGGTCTCTGCAGCCGAGGCCACACCCAAAAGCCCAACCAAAAGAACAAGCCGGAACATTTTCGAGTTAAACTACGCCTAAACAATCAAAATGCATTATTTTATGGAGATAAAGTCACATAAATCAGCATAGATTCTAAGCAACAATAAGGAACAAAGTTCAAAAAAATGCCCCGTTTCCAAAAATGCTCCGGAAGCACACTCTTGAGCGTAGAACCATCTTATAACCCTCCCAAAATTAGCCGAATTTTGTTTGGAAAACCGTGGAGAATGTGGAAGCAAAGTGGGAGCAATTTTCCAAATTGCCCGCGGGTGTCTACAACAAGTGTGTGTTTATCCGGCCACTCGTTCCTTGTGGCTGGCACGAAGGAATTGACCGGAAAAAATGGGGCCGAAATTTTGACCAACCATATGTTCGGTCACGAATCAAACTAAATTATTAAATCGAATTGCAAATAACCAAAAATAAGATGCGTGAAAAATAGTTAGCTTTTTTCTAGCGGATTCTAGGAAAAATATTGTTAAACTTTAGGGCGGATAAAACTTTATAAAAATTTTTATGCCCAAACAATTTTTTTGAATCAACGTTAACTGATTTTATACTTCTTTAATTACACAGCTATAATTCGTTTTCGGATTCAAACCTTTTTTTATCTCAAAAATCCACCCCAAATTAGATCCCAATCTAGCGTGGTGACCTAAAAGCGAATCCGAGCGTTTGGCTTTCGATTTCCACACTTTCTACTTTCCCGCGTTCCTAAATGCTCCTATTTTTCGGTTTATGCTTTTTTGCTTTTGTAAAGTCTGGTAAGTAGTTCTTAACTTCAAAATGGCTAATTTACATAATCGATTACGTTCTGTAAGACTGGAAAACTTGGAAATCGATACCAAATATACGCCGCATTAGTGTAGAAGGTGTAAGAATTGACCGGGAGGGCCCAAGACAGGGCCCTTTAATAACCAGCTCCAAGACCCCCCCAGGGAGGGATTAGGATAAATTGAGGGATTTCAGAGGGCCCAGAAGGTTAGAAAACAACTTTTCAGAAACCACGGAAACGGATGGGCCAATGCATATGATTGATAGCGATTGGTGGGACAAGTTTCAGCCCAGCACCTATCGACTCAACAAGAAAAGTAAGGTTGTTGGCTGGGACTTTTTATGTATTATTATTAATTTAAATCGAAAAACATTGCATAGCTTAAAACTTGCCCTGGTCCGTAGACCCCTAAAGTTTCGATATTTTTGCTGTTTTCCAAGATTTTTGTCAACCATTCGATAGAGTTTTATAAAATCTACTTACAGTTTTAATTTCAACCCCAAAATAATGCAAAATGAAACAGTTGTGGCAAAAACAAGCAAAATCCAAAAAACCAGCAATATATTTAATGCTATGGTTTTAAGACGGTTAAAGTAAGCCCTTCACGTAAAATGGTTACCTGCAGATTTGTACAGATTTTATTCATTCCAATCCAACGCTGACGTTTATGGCTTAAAAACCATAAGAATACTTTTTGGCATAAGCACAATTCAATATTCTAAAAACAATAGCAAGGGGCTTGGGGAATGAATGGACTTAAATTACACCCGTATCGCATCGGAATCATCGCAGAAAAATTAGTGCAAGAGGACAATGCGAGAAATCAACCAAGAATGGTCTCGTGAGGGGCTATAAAGCCCATTGTATTCTGGGTTTACAGTAGCTGGTCCATGAATTAGAACCACTTATAGTAGGGCATTCCGCAGATTTGGTTATGTGTAGGGATGGCGAGGGCGGCGGCCAGGAGGATACCGACCGTGTCGGATACGGTAACGATTAGGAGTGCAAATTCTTTGATGGAGGGGCTTACCTAAAAGAAATATATCTTTAAAGTATCGCCTTAGTTTCAAAAATGGTTCTGGATCTCAATGATGCCCTTTTTGATAAAAAAAAGAAGAATTCAAAACCTGTTTTCCAAACTTTTCAGTTCGCTAAATGAAAACCCCACGCTCCCAAAAGACCGAAACCCGGAACAACACCCAAAAAAATACAGTATCCCCGTCTATTCGCCCATTTCCCAGGTGACGGCTGGGCAATCGTGTTGGGAAAGAGTAAAATTGATAGATCGGGATGGTTTGGTGTACTTCCCGGCCTAGACTAACAAAAAGCGGTAGGCGCAACTTACATTTTGATGTACATGGCGTACGGTATTACCGTAGGCACTTCCACCAGTTAGGCCTTCGAGGAAGATGATACCGTAGGCAGCGATGATGTGTGGGAAATAAGGGGAGAGGGTTTCGACGAGGAGTACGCCAAGGATGGACAGCTAAAAATAGGTAGATTAGCGATTAATTAAATGCAAAATTATTAAAATACGCTCGAAAAATATTTTTTTGCTAAATTATCGACTACGATACACTCGATAATATAACGATATAAAATGCATCATATTTTAATGCTGATCGATACTAATTAAGCTAAATAAAAAACCAACCTGCGACAATGGCAACATCCAAGCAATAACCCAAAATGGCATTGGAATCAAACTGATTGCAGATCTCGAGATAAAAATCCCGATCTGGTACAGCACCTTTAGAACAATTTTTGCTTTTACACGTCGTAATCCTCACCTGATACCACTTATACTGCGATTCTGGTGATGAATGAAAACTATTATCGCAGTCGAACACGATCAACTCGGCCTAGGTTTTTATGCTAATCAAAATTTGGAGCTCACAACTCACCAAGCCCTGGTTGATGAAGTATTGGGCGAAGAAGACTGTACCCAACGGCACCATGTATTTCATTAGGCCCTAAAACTCGTGGTTAATTTTTAATGGCGTGATTACCAAGGTGATAGAGATCTTCTGACGGAGCGAGGAGTAGGAGCCATAGATCTCGACGAAGGTATCGCTTTTTCGGTCTTCTTCTTCATCTAAAAACGGGTTCATACATCTAATATAGAAAAAGTGTGTTAGGAAAAACAGGAAGGCAAGGGTCTAACCAGTTAGTTCAGCTTTGAAAAATGGTAATAGCTCAAATATCGAATTTTTGGAAGTTGGGCGTGTTTTGGCTTCAGAGATTCCTTAAAATTTTTTGGATTTAAGAAGGGTTGGTAGCAAAACGGAAAATTTATATTGTTAAATTTTAAAAATCTCTCATTTTTGGGTTTCAAATTTTTGCCTTCTACCCTGAGCGTCGCAGGATAAAAATGGCAACTACTAGGATTTTTGCAATTTAGAGTTCGCTTTGAACCTGATGATTTTTGATAGCTTAAACTACTGTAATTCACTAACCACTCGGTCGTTCCCTCTCCTCCTTCAGTCTCTCCACATTTGATCGTGGCCCCCAATCGATCCACGTGCGCGGCTCGTAGAATACGGTTTTCCTCACCGTCGGAGCTCGGACTAGCACCATCCAGTACCTGAACCCCCGATGGAAGGATGGTCGCTGATTAATTGGCAGTGAGTTCGGCCTTGGTTTGGCGGCTTATCTCTAGCTATCACGCCTTGGCTCTTTTTAGAAGTGTGCAAAAATTCTTTGGCTTATACTTTATATAACTGTCCCAACGCAATAACTTACGTCAGTGTGAAGATGAAAGGGGCGATGAGCATCAGGAGGAGCGAGATTTTCGGGCTTAATCCAAGCATTCGAGGATCGGTCATAGCTTAATTCAACTATATTAGCCACTCTTTTAAGGTTACAATACCTGCATATAATATTGATCCCAAAATTCCAGCCATTCCAGTACCGGATGACCAGGAAGTTATAGTATTACTAAATTTCATAATTAATCTAAGAAATGCAAAAATTACATACGCTGAATAGTGAGCAGCCAACCCAAGATACATCATCTCTCCGAAACCGCATGAAATTGAAGCTACGGCAACGCCTAATGACATTAAAACTACAGTATTTTGCGTAGAATATATACATACCTGTTAAAGCAACCGGGACACTTGTGGCAAAAGCTGTAATGAGCAGAGCCATAGCTTGCGTGATCACCACAAGGGCATTTCGCGTACTGTAATTTTAATACATGGTAATCAACTAAATACAACTTACCCATAAGGCAGATAGTCGATGAAGAACGGCGCTATCAGCTTTACAAAGAACATCGGTAAGATATTTAGCATAAGCACTAGCCCGGCAGACTCTTGAGTGCAAACTCGGTGCGATCGGTCCGGCTAAAAGTATACTTTAAAAATCTCTTAGTTTTAAACCTACCAAGCAGACTTCTTCAGCGACAGTCAAATTTCCTGAGGACATTTCTTCAACTCGTAGGATGTCCTGAGCCGCGCTGAGCATAACGACATACGCGAAATTGTTGCAAATTCCAAAGAGCCTGAAATTTGGAATTTCGAACAATTTGAAGTTGAGTAAAAAGAGCATTCCTTAAAACACTCACCAAAATGCCGCCAGGCTCCTGCCGACATAAAACCGTTTCTGCGTCTTTTCCGGCTTTTCCAGGTCGGCCGTCATTGCCCCCGGTTTATGCTAATTAAATTTGCATAAAAATTGATTTGAACATTTGGAAGGAGAATGATTGTTTATAAAAGAAGTTTAAGCAGATTTTGAAAAAAGGAGAATAGAAAAGGCGTAACAAATAGACAATACTAAATATTTAAGCAGATGTTAAAGTTCAAAAGAAAAATAGAAAGTCTATAAAATAAGCAACAAATAAAAATATATCATTTAAGCTAGCTTCTGCAATATCTTATGTGTATTTAAATGGAAAATTCGACAGCAATACCAATTATAGCATTACGATCAGATTAGAGATTAGAGCTATTACATTTTTTCAAGCTTCCGGCCAAAAAGTGCAAAGTTCAGAAACGTAACCGTTTGTTGGTAGGTGTGGGATCGGTCTCAAAGAAAATGATGATGATGATGGCCGATGATGCTGATGCTCAGCTATCATTCCCCCTCCCCCTCCCCCCTCCGTTCCGCCGATTCGGGCAATCCGCTCGAAAAAAGCGCACAATGCAAGATTTATCACGGCTATCCACAGACCCCCATTCCCATCCCCCTTCCCCCTGAATCGCCCGAGATAGCAGGGGGATTTGGCTAACGGTTGGTGGATGAGGAGATCCTAGTGTGGCACAGGTTCAGGTCGGAACTTGCGAGATTTGGAGGGTTCAAAATTGTGAGAAGAATCGCGAAATAAGGAAGTTCATCATAAAAACCTTACAATTTCCATAGCAAAAGTTCTATCGCAAAAATATTCTGAAAAAGAGTGTTTTCTATGAGTCATCCACAACAAAGGAAAAATAAAAAAAAATATCTGATTCAATTGACGATGCATTTATGGGAATTTGCAAAATTTCTGCCTCCGATTCCAAAATTAGAAAATACGCGCTTCTTTGTAAACTTTCGCTGGCATTTCGTCGTTAATTTTTGATTTTTTAATTTTTAATGAAAATATCAGTTTTAAATCACGCCTTGCAAACATAAAACACTCGTTTTTGCGCCAAGCCACATTAACAAGGCAATTTCATAATCCTTAAGAAATTATTGGCACTTTAAATAGCATCTTACATAAACTGACGTCCAAGCTTTCTTTAAAAACAATTGAATGTCGGCAAATTTTCGAAAAAAACTCTAATGTTTTCGATTTGAAAAATTCAAACATCAAGTTCCGGCCTAATTTTGTCCTTTGACAAACACGTGGTGATAGTCCTTAAAAACTGCGTTACAAAAAGGGGCGCCTATTTGTTGTCTAGGAGAGTATCAACGCCCCAGAAAAAGAGCGAGATATCGCGAGATCGGTGTTTGATTTTGGTGGAATGATTGTGGTCCTAAAGGCGGGTGAGGGTTTGGTATAATTAAGGGAGGGAGGGGCTAGTGATAGCCTACATCAACCAACATTCCAATCATATTGCAATGGGGTGATCTTTGGAACAATCTTTAATGATCATGCGACGTCAGTGGGTGGGAATTGGTGCTAGAGTGCTCTCTAGAACTCGTGAAAACAGCAAAATAACCGTATTTTAAGACTTAGGGGTAGTATACGGTGTCTTTGAAACCTTTCAAATGCATTTTTGAATTACTATGATATCGAAAAAACCCAAATATATTAGTTTTGACGCTTGGGGTTCCATATTGTTTTTGTACAGTCTAGATGGTGTTTTAAACCTAAACGTTTTAACATCAACGCCTAGAAATACGACAAGAAGTTTTCAAAACGATTTTAATATAATAAATCACCGAAAGGGACTAACGACTATTTTTACAGCCGACGAAAACGGTGAGGCGATCGTCACCAAGGACAACAACTTTGGATATAGTGAACAAGGCATGAAAGACCTGGATGAGGTAATTTTCCATATCTACTACGAACTATATGCGCACTCATAGATCGGTGGAATGGTCGGAGGTGGAGATTCAGAATTGCTAGGAATCCTCAGGCCCTACTACTCTATGATGGAAATGTCTGCAAATGGGAATAAACAGGCAAGCGAACTTCAACGTCCCTTTAAAGGGGCGGAGCCAGGTGACCGCCACATGTTTGTCTCGGGGTCAATGGAATGTTAATTAGTGTTTGATCAGAACCATTCAGATAAGGAATGCCAAACAACTAACAACATCAAACGTGACCAACAGATTTTTTTCTAAAACAATGATTAATCATAGAATAATAATGGCATTGCGATGGGGGGAAGGAATTGGGTAGAGCAAGACAAAACATCCTTCCCATGACGATCTATCAATCCCTCAGGAGGGAAACGCACTTCATTGTTTTCCGCACTTGTCCCAATAACGAGGAAATATTTTTGGAGAAAATGAACAAAAGGGATATGTATGTTAAGAATGATATTTTGGGATTACAGATCATTGACTGTTCACTTGGGGTGGATTGTTTATCTTAGTTTATTTATACACTTCCCTTGAGGGGTCAGTCTGTGGAAATGAAGGCCACTTTTCGGGTCATATGTCGTTGTGTTGGGCCCCGGAACGAAAGAGCTAAAGAGAGAAAAACATGTGATCAGGGTGTGGCCCCAAGAAAATACGGGGGATTTTTGAAAGATCGTTGAGGTCATGGGCTAGATAGATTTCAAAAACCAGGCTATCAGGTCAAAATTTATGAAATTCTAATCATAAAAGGCTTCTAAATAGGGCTAAGATGTCCTATAATTTTGCAGGAATACGGTAAAATTATTTTTTTATTTTATCCACCGTTTTAAAAGAGATACAAAACCATAAATAACTTTGAAAAATCAACAAAAAATCTAAAGGCAAAAGTCTGTCGGGAAACTCTTCTCTTCATAAAAAATACTGAATGATTTACCGACGTTCTTTGCCGAATCAACGATTTCGCAATTTTATGGAAATATTTTTTCGGAAATTTAAAGTCTTTGCGTTAAAACATGGGAAGTAATGGCTAATAAATAGAATTATGCTAATTTTGTGTACCATAAATTACGCCGATGAAAACGTCATATAAAAATTCCTCCAATTTATACCAATTTATTTCTAGGGTTTCGGCTCGTACATCCAAGTGCTTCCCGATGAAGAAGAGGGCGATCGCCCAATCTACAATCTTGGCGGATCCTTCTTTGGTGGTATCGAGCCAGCCGGCGTGAAAATCGGCCATATGAATCGACCCTTCGGAAAGAAATAACATATTTAATAAACGCTTTTATTCAATTCAATAGTAGAGATATCTACTTCGCATTGAAAAGGCGCTTTTGAGGGAAAAGCCGAAGTGGAGGGCCGAGAGGAGCACCAGCGATGCATAGCATAGGATCTGGAAATTATGATGATCAAAATATTTGTTGATATGCCCTGAGGCATGTGAAAAAGGAATGGAAGGGGAGGGGTTGAACTGGCAAGACCGGTCTGACGATTGTTTGTCCGGGTGACCGGCGTGATTTATGATGCGGAAGAGGGAATTTGGTTTATAATTTTTTTAATTAAGAGATGATGATGAGATACCTGTATGACAAAAATTTCACGTTCAGTTTCATGGGGTTGCCACTCGATGTAGGGGATGGAATAGTGGAGCCATCGGTAGCAATATCGCTCTCGTTCGGGCCACCAGTGGCAATGATATGCAAGTGGCGGTGTGGTTGAGGAGAGTCTGGAAAGATTGCGTGTTTTGATACGATCAAACTACAAAAATAATACTTGTAAATTACAGAAAAATCAAAGATTAGAATAATCTAGGTTTTTCTCAAAATCTCGTTGATATTTCAACGACTTTTGGCAACTCGCGGTTCCAATTCGCGTTGGTTCAGGTGTCCTTTTGATTTACCTCCGGGGGAGGCCGTGTGCGTTCTAGAGTTCTGGCAGTCTTTCAAGGGATAAAGTAGGCATGAGGCACTCCGTTACGCGGGAGAAGGGTGTGTCTCTACGAGGGAGCTGCATCTGACACCGCGCGAGCTGCAGGCTTTTTATTTAGCGCCCCAGTCACCGTAGCCCCCACAGAGCTCCCGCACGGCCCTCTCGCTTTTTCGCCAACCAAACCAGCTTTTTCGGCGCAAGCCCGTTTTTTTATAAATACAATTGTGTTTTTGCTTCTCAATTGTTTTTACTATTCCTAAGCATAAAAACTTTAAAAATTTTAATTAAAACTTAATTTTAGGTCGAAAACATGATTTTTGTGTTGTTTTTTAACTTTTTTTTCTAATTTTTCTGCTTGCGACGCTTTTATTAGAAAAAGTTTGGATGGACGAAGGTCGACAGAACATCAATTTTTGGTTCAGAATTCGAAACATTTTCTCCGAAAAACAGGGACCAGGGCTGATGCGGGCTCAGCCGGCCCGGCGCCTACCTCCAAATCCAGGCCCGGGCCCGCCAAGCTTGGGCCCTAATCAACGGGCTTGAAGCGCGGCCTCTTGTAGTAGTCCTCCTGTAGACAGGCCCGTAAGAAGCATTTTATTTTTCATCGCGTTCATTTTTTAGCCATTTTATCGAAAATTTCGTTTCAAATGTGAATTTTTTGTTATTGTTATTTTTTTTCAATACTAGGGTTTTCTTTAGCCATTTCTCCAAAATTTAAACCTGTGGCGCTGTTTCCGATTTTTTGAACGTTTCTCTGCCATTTTACAAAAGTGTCGACGGGGGGAGTCAAAAAATTTTGACCGCGGCCCCCCCCCCCGAAATTCCGGGTTTGTCATGACCCTGACGTTTAGTTGCCATTTTTATACTTTGGAATTTGGTTTTTAGAAAAGAAGCCGCATGCACCTCGTCTTCAACGAGCTGGAAGAACCTTGTTACAAGAATGCCCCTTGCAGTTCAAGGTATACTTTCGTTCACTGTCTTGCAACTTTTCAGTGCACCTATGGATGGAACTGCGGGAGGAAGTAAGACCGCTTGGGTGCACAACTTTTCTATAGGTAGTTTTCTAAGTTTTCTAAGTTAAGGTTAAGGGCCGTAACAAGGCCGAAATTTCGGGGGGAACAGCCAAATTTTTGACCGCCGCCCTCCCGCCCCCGAAATTCCGGGTTTGTTACGACCCTGACGTTTATTTGCCTTTTTTATACTTTGCAATTTAGTTGTAGAGGAGAACCCGGTTGAAAGAATTACCCTCGCAGTTCAAGGTATGCTTTCGTTCACTGGCTTGCAACTTTTCAGTGCACATATGGAGAAAATTGCGGGAGGATCATCAAAGGGCGACGCCGACGACGTGGGCGGTCTTATATTAGTAAGACCGCTTGGGTGCACAACTTTTCTATAGGTAGTTTTTTAAGTTTTCTAAGTTAAGGTTAACGGCCGTAACAAAGTCGAAATTTCGGGGGGAACGGTCAAAAATTTTTGACGAACTCCCCCCGGTCGACACTTTTGTAAAATGGCCGAGAAGCGTTCTACAACGCAAAACAGCGACGTAGGGTTAAATTTTGGAGAAATGGGAGAAAGAACACCCTAGTATTGAACATTTAAAGCGAAATTTTCAATAAAGTGACCGAAAGAATTTTTGAAAAATAATTGACAAAAACTAGAAATCGGCATTAAAACATTCATAAAAAGCGCATTAAATTTCCGGGAAAAAATCATAAGGCCCCCTCCGTTATGAACTTTTCGGCCTTCGGCCGATTTCGACGGGGCGGGGCGGGGTCAGTTCGCACCCCCCTTACGGGTCTGGTCGACAATGGGCCGGGCTTCACGGCCCGTTGGACGGGCCCGGGCCTGGATTTCGAAGTAGGGGGGCGGGCCACGGCATAGGTCGACCTTCTCCCCCCACCCTAATCGACTCTCTGGCAAGCAGCCAGTAGGGCCATATGGATACCTCCGCAGCTCGAAGTTAAACTTCGGTTAGCTATCACATATAGCCTATTAGATGCAGTTTTTCGCGCTGAGACGTTACCGCTATTTATTTTTGCCCAAATCCACAGGACCACTGCTAAAAATCACTTTAAAGTTTTGCAATGTTTTGCCGCTCTGCGTCAAAGCCCTCCCCTGAGAGAGGGATCCGTCTGTGGCGTGGTGGCTTCGGCAAGTACTTGGTCTACCAATCTAGGGGTCACGAGTTCAAGTCTTGTCGCTGGCGACTTTTTGCTTTTTGGATAAAAAGTTTTGTGATGGCCATATGAACGCATAATTCAAACTTCTTTGACCAAAAAAGTGAAAACGAACATAAAGACGTGATCGGACCAACCAACCGATGTAAAATGGTTTTTGACTGGGCGTTCATATGGCCTCACATCACTTTTATCCAAAAAGCCAAAAAGTCGTCAGCGGCAAGACTCGAACTCATGACACCTAGATTAGCAGAGAAGTGCTTGCCGAATACACCATGCCACCGATGGATCCCTTTCCCTGGGGAGGGGCTTTGAGGTCGGGCCACAAAACATGGTAAAATTTAAAGTGATTTTTAACAGTGTTCTTGTGGACTTGGGCAAAAATAAATAGCGGTGTCGTGACCAGTGCGAAAAACTGCGTCTGATAGGCTATTATATCCAAATCCAAAGTTGAACTTCGAGCTGGGGAGGTATCTTTGTTAGTGGGAACTAGGCGACGCGCAAAGGTACTCCCTTTCACCCACGTAACCGTTTGACTTACGCCGTCCTTGTTTCTTCAATGGGATAAAGGCGAGATAAGGCAATCCGTTCCGCGGGAGAAGAAATTGTCTGCGCGACGCAAGCTGCAGAATTTCTATTGCGCGCACCAGTCACCGTATCCCCCACCCAGTTGCCGCCGGGCCTTCGCTTTCGCCAAAACCAAACCAAAAATTTTCGGCGAAAGCCTAGATTTTTTTATAAATATCGTATTTGTTCTGCTTTTAAATTGTTTTTGCTATTCCTAAGCATAAAAACTCAACAAATTTTAATCTAGAAAAATTAATTTTAATCTAAAAAATTAATTTTAGTTAAAAAAAATTTGATTGTTTCGACCTAAAACGACCAAATCGTCGATTTTTCAAACATTTTTCCAACTTTTGTCGAAAGTTTTGTTGCTTTAAATATAGTAACATTATGCTAGGCCAACCGGAACCGCTAGGAAAAAAAAATTGGTTGCCGCACCGCGCGGCAGAGTAAGGATGGCAATCACCCGCGCGGATTCACTAGGGAATGGTTTCCAACAGACATCGAAATTCTTGTTGCAAGATAGAGCTACCATTGAGCGCTAGAAACAAATACTATCTGTGTATTTTTAATACTTTGACTGTCGCCTTCCCCTTATAATAAAAAATTACAAACTCTGAATTTTTTAAGTTTGGAATCTCTAAATTTACATAATAAAAAGTATTGTAGATTTCGTGCAAAACCCTGTGCAGAAACCCACTTCGTGGTCCAGCAATAGATTCCAAAAAAGCATATGGCAAATAGAAACACCGACAACGCTGATCCGACCAAATTCACGGTCCTTGAAATCGGACCATGACATTTGTGTTTCCAAGTTGTGGCTCCTAAAATAGATTTTTTCCAATGATTTTCAATCCCTTTAAAATAAGTCTACATGTACCTTGGGCAACCCCATATAACCCGATAAGAAGTGGCAGGGCGAGAAAGAAAAATGTACAGCAGAAATGCCAGTGAACAATACCTTAAAATTATTTGGAAACGTAGGCTCTGAATTCGGTAATGAATTACCTATGAAAAACGTGACAATACCGACGACGCATTGGTAATGATAAGAGTATAATCGTAGTCTAAAACATTGTTAGTAACTAAAAGCTATTATATCTGAATGAATACTTGGTCTCCTTCGCGCTGTAGACCATCAGGGCTGTACAGCAAAAAAGTTGGACAGCGGATAGTAGAGACAATGCGATTGAGATTCCAAAACGAAGTCTTTCTCGGTCGTCGTTCCAGCCTACCTAAAAAATAATAGATAGTTAATGATTATTAACAGAAATAACCAAAGGTTTTTGGGTCATCTTCAACTCACATATTCCAAAAGATACGCCTGGACACCGCTTAAAAATTCCCCGCAGCTGCCCACCAAATGGACAGTACGATATTTGAGACCATGACAAACTCCGTGGGAGGCTTCTTCATATTCTGCAAATATAATATTAAAAAGGCTAAATATAACTACACGAAAATGGTCTAAAAGTTTTAGTACGAACTTGTCAAATCACTGAGACAATACGTTTCGACGATGGAGGTGGAGAAAAAGGCGAAAGACACCAGGGCACATGATAATTCCAGAAGAAAATCGCACCTGCAATGAGGTTAATTTAAAGCCATAATGTATCGAGAACAAATTAAAATTTCGTGTATGCTGCATAAATCTAAAGCTTTGCTTTTGCTTTAAAGGTTGTAATGAAAATTTTCATGTAAAGCTATTCCTTTGATTTCGATTTTTAGTATGCTATGATTCATTCCAAAAAAGTATCACTACCCTTACCTATTTGGATATCGTAGAAAGACAGCATGAAAGGCAGCCACGCAGCCGATAGTCCCGGCGAGTAAGGGTAGCATGAAGAAATAGAATGGTAAGCAAAGGAAGAGGTGAAGCATTCCAACCAGAAAGGAGCACTAAAATATTTTTTTAAACGCCTTAGAATGTTTGAACATCAATGAAATTTAACAGTAAAAATCCGGTGATCCTTACAATTGCTATAATAGCAAGTAGGGGATAGAGACTCCAGTATGGCCCCGAGACGACCATATTTGGGAACAGCGAGGCCGTCGTGTCCGATTTTCGGATCTGCATCGCTGCCGATTTTTGGCCGTTGGCTGGGCGGCTTGCCGAGCTGGAATTTGGTATTTAAAATTAAGTTATAACGGCTTACTGTCAAGAAAATTCTGGGCAGCTCCACGTTTCATAGCCGTCGAGTAGAGGGATGGGTCGGATGGCTTCTCATTGGCATGCCCGGATGTAGAAAGTAAAATTTTCGAGAATGGGAATTCTGAAAATAAGGCTTAACTCTGCATAAAAACTTCAAAGGGATCAAGAAATGACAAAATAGACGATACTTCGACTATATCTGGACAAAGATTTAGTGCCTTGCGTAGATGTCGAGATATAGACGACAAATAGCGTTGATTAAATCCTAGAAAAGAACGAGAACAATTAAAAAGAAGCAATATAAAGTAATTTCAAAACCCTATAACTCCAAAAAATACTACAACAATGTTATAAAATTTGTATAATCCCAAAAAACCCCTAGCCAGCCATTGCCGCCCCAGACTAGTCGAGATGGATTTTGTTGCGAGCCGGACTCGTAGAGTGGGTTTAAAGGAAGAGGGAATGGTCGGAAAGATGGCCCCAAAAAGAGGGGGACAGATGGCTTCTTGCTGACACGCAATCATTCCATTCTAGGGGAGGGTGGGGGTGCAGCGATGTTTGGGGAGGATGAGCTGCTCTCGTCCTCTGGGACATCCAATCACTACATATTACTCTACCACACTACGGGTTATCCGGATGTTGGGTCAGTATGTACGGATCAGATGTACGAATTGGGGTATGTGAGGCAGGGGCGTAGCCAGAAAAAAATTTCGGGGCGGGGGGGCAAAAAATTTTCCCAAAAAACTCAAAACATTAACGAGAAAACAGCGCCGCAGGGACAAATTTTTGCAGAAAAAGTAATATAGTTCAACAAATAGCGTAAAAACGTGAAAAAATAGCGCTGCATGCAGCAAAATTTTTGAGAAAATAAAAATCATAAGGGCCCCCCTTATGAAATTTTCGGGCCCGGGCCGATTTCGGGGGCGGGGCCGGTATTACGCTACGTCCCTGATGTGAGGGCAAATAATTGGGCTTTAAATCCAATCGGAAGTTAGGGAGAAGCATTGGATTGGTTTGAAAAATCTGTAAGGAATTTAGCTTGTCAGCCCTTTAAAGCATTCAAATCAATCTAAAAATTAAAATACCAAAATCCAAGTTCCTTAAAAGCAAAGAACGAAGCCTTCCCAATGGGATCAATGTGAACCCCCCGTTTTTCTTCGGATCCCTCTGTTCCTCAAGGCTGCAGCAAATTAGCCTCTATTCAATCGCATCCGAATCTGGGCGAAATGTGTATTGGGAAGGCGTTCCCCGGAAATCCTTGCCGGACCTCCCGGCTCAACCCGTCCCAGTTTCCTTATTCTTCTGCGAAGGGAGATATGGGTAAACATATGCAAAGAGCTTTATTATTCAAATATCCAAAGTGCTGGGGGTCCAGTATTGGGAACAATCTTGGCTGTTTTTCGTTGTCCGGAAGTAGGGACAGGCCTGAAAGGAAAAGATCAGGGAGAAATAAATACCGTTTTCAGATAGCAAGAAATAGTTTAAAACTATTTGATACAAAAATTAAATGTTAATACCGTATCCGGGCATTTCAAGTGCGCTTCGGTGAGCGTTAGGTTTCCATAGGTACTCTTCTTGCCCACCGGCTCCACCATGTTATTCCAAAGATGGTGGGCTACCTAAAATCAATCTAAATGTATGCTTATAAAACTATATTATGCAGCTTGATACAAATTGTAAGCGCTAATCGATTAAAAACGAATTGCTGATAGTCTGAACCTACCACGGAATGACCCCACGCCGAGAAATGGAAGCAATCGGGGGCAAACCAAAGGTGATCCACCTCACCAGTTGGCTAAAACCGCATCATTAATTTGTTTTATTAGACGCCTAATAAAAATACATCTAATTAACTTTAACAACAATAATTTATATTTTCTTACCGTATACGGTGGGTTTCTCACATCCTGGAACCACGGCTGAACGACGAGCGAGAAATCGTCGTGCTCAAACTTTCCTGAGGTTTGCAGTCCCATTGCAGCCACCTATGTATAAAGAGTAAGCTAATTTACATAATTTTGCCAACTTGGTATTGGGCTGAAATATTGGCTAGCAAGGCGTTTGACACATTGTTTGCCTCGCAGTGGCATTCGAAGCTGGAAATAGTCGGTTGGCAGAGTCGGGATTAGAGAAAAATAGGATCGATTGAAATAATTAAATTACTTCCTGAGAGATTTGAATCTTGTATTGAATGTTTTAATGTAGTTTTAACTACATTAAGACATAAGATTTAAAAATCTTATCGGCATAGTTAAGAACTTACACATGCATCCCCTGGCAGAAAAATTGGCCGTTATCGATCGAGCGCAGATTGTCCATATTGAACATGCTCATCACAGAAATGATGGTTCTAGACGGGTATACAGGGTGTCCCAATAAAAAAAACACCCCCCTCTAACTCGTCGTAGTAGGATCGGATCGGAACGATAGTTACCTCATTGGAAAAGCCTTGAAACGGCGAACTATAACAATAAATAGCCTGTCAAATGGCAGGTTCAAATAAAAACATGGTTTTGAAAACGGTGGCAAACTCGTCTTTCAGGGCTTTCGATTGATTTAACCATCAATCCGATACTTCTGTGCCGAGTCAGCAGGGTGTTTTGTTAATGGGACCCCCCGTATTAAGTCTTTTTCCATTTGTAGTTTATAGTTTTTAGATATAGTACACTGCGGGTCAAAATGATAGGTCCACCTAGTTATCCCCGCTTTCCCAGCGGAGAACGATTTTCTGAAGAATCCAAATAGTAGGTCTTGTAGTCCTCAAAACGACAAAGTTTTGATGTTTCGGAATGTCTCTACAAGAGCGGAAGTCCCAGCTAGAAAACAAACAACCAAATCATGCGAAAACCGAGGTGTCAAAATGATAAGCCCAGACTTCAGCAATCGGTATGGATATTAGCTGCGAATCATGATGCAAAGCGGGAAACATGAATATAACAGGGTGTTCCAATAAAAAACACCACCTCGAACTCGTCGTAAAAGTATCAATAGTTACAACATCCGAAAGCTCCTGAAACGGCGAGTTTGCAAAAATTATCAAAGCTATGTTTTGATCTAAACGCGCCATTTGAAACAGCTTTCAAAAACATTAAGGAACGGTCTCTGCATCTAATTAACGGCTACGTCCGATCATTTTGCATGGAGAAATTGAGGCAAATTAGCTCGTATGCAACCCCCAAAAACCGCAAAATTTTACAAAATGGCTTATAAAATGGCGGATTGAAATAAAAACATGGTTCTCAAAGTTGGTGCAAACTCGCCGTTTCAAGGGCTTTCGAATGGTGTAGCTATTTTTGTCTACGCCGGACTTCAGCGCTTCTTTCTCATAGTGCACCCCACGGGGACTGGCGTGCGGTTCCAAAAGTTTGAAGGCCTTATACCGGGCGTACGGATGCCTTAAAAGTGCATGCTTTTGAAGCTACGCCTGTGGTTCGGCCGGACTGATTGGGGAATCAGCCGTCGATGGTGGCCCCTTTGGGCTGCCTTTCTGGAGGCCAAGTGGGCCAGGTGAGTGTCGAGTCAGACGGACAGTCAGCGCAAGGGAAGAGAGTAGGGGGTGCCGGGGAGAGGCTGATGACGAGGATAAGCCAGAGGGAACCGAAACCTTTTATATAAAAAATACCTCGTTTCTGGGTCTCCAAAACACCCTTTAGGGGCCCGCAGGAAGCACGGCTCGGAATGACTATTATACAATTCTAAAGCTCTCAAAACGCGAGAGTTTTGTTTTCTGTATTTTAAAGGCACTTGCTGGATCTAAAAGGCTGGAGCAAGATGGCCACCGGGGAACGGGGAACTTGCGCCCGCTGCAAAATTCTTTGCTTTTTCACCAAATGCATTTTTCTCGAGCCGTACATCAAAGAATTCGTCTTTTCGTGGGCTACAGGACCTATTATTTGAATGTTTCAGAAAATCGGTCCCCGCCGAGAAAACGGAGGATAACTGGGTGGACCTATCATTTTGAGCCGCACTGTATCAAACCTGGGCAAATATTGGCGGATTAATTCAGCGGCATCAGCAATACCTTGTGCATAGCCTGCAGCCGAAACCGTGTCAATGGTATTCTAAAGGCAGTTATATTAGCTATCGTACTTTGTAGGGATTATGGAGAACTAGCTAGTTACTGTAAAGGTTACATATTATATATTGTATAGATATTATGTAGCATATCATATGAACAAGATTGTATTACTTACCGGATCAATGCACCATTCGCAAATGTCATTGCCGCCAATGAAGATGTTGATGAGTTTCCAATCATTTTCAATGTCGATCTAAAGAGTAAAGCCATAATTCAATGATGATACTTTGAATTAACTTTTCAATCGAATTTTTGAAAATTGGTAGAAAGTTTTACCTCGGGGTGGCTCTTAATCTTATTAATCATCCACTGTGCTTCCGTTTTGAGGTTCTGACCCTCACCCGCTAGAGATTTCGACCCGGGTATCCCTCCGTTTAGTTTGGCTACCTAAAAGTTGAAATAATAAAAAAATTATAAATTTTGCATGTTTATTACCTCCCACACATTCTCTGACCCAGTTCCGATCGCGTAGCCCTCAAGTTTTGGGTTGAATTTCTTGAGAATATCTGAAAAATAGATTTTGCTTTTTGCTGCCAATACGCGAAACCCAATTTGTATAGGCTTACTGGGCACGGTAATCTGCTCCTCTAGAGAGTATTGGCCACCCGCATGGAAGGAGAGACCTCGATATTGGAGGATAATAGCCAATGGGTCTTCGTGAGGTGCTCCTGCTCCGTTGGCAGCCTAAAACAAATTAAATTTTTGTTTGAATTGCGCAGCTTTTAATTAAGTTATTATTTAAAGCTTAATAAATACCGTCAATGAGTCTCCCAATGCCGCAATCACTTTAATATCAGCAAATCGGACTTGATTGACATTTGTTGGGACCGAGGCGCTACTGAAGAAGATTCGATTCAATTTCATTGTAATATTTTTCATACGGTGCCATGGCTTTCGGGTCACATGAATAGTTTGGATCTGTTAGGGCCCGCAGTGCAAGTGTTGATCCATTGAGTACCAATATACAGACTAAATTTACAGCATAATAATTTTAAGCTGCTCTACTCAAACTTACCCAAATACCTCAAAGCCGTCATCCCAAAAAATAGAAGCTCGTAAAAGCTCAGAAGCCCAGCTGCTCAAACCAAAACCAACGGCTTATCGGTCGGGGTAGAAAGGATCCAAAAAAAGTTGGCATAAGCCGTCCATTAGGATCAGCCTACAGACAAAACGGTGCTGATAAATGGATTAGAGAACGGGCAGCGTTTTGCTCAATTCTAAAGGGAGCGTGTCATGGAGATAGTGTGTATTTTTACGTATGTATCGTAGATTTATTATCTTTAGAATCACATAAAAAACAACAGAAAGGATAAATTTCAACAAGTAACCATCAACAACAAAAAGCTATAAAGAAGGGTCTTGCATTAGTGCGCCTTTTTGTGCTTGTTTCCGGTTTTCGGGCGCACTTCGTTCGGGTTTCGGGGTCTAAACCTTGGATTTAAAAATGTTATTTAGATACCTGGTATTGTGCTTGATTTGAACGTTCATTCCAAGTGCCGCACTCCTGCTATGCAAATCATGGAGAGCGAACGGGCTGTCACCGCTCAGGCCCTCGGGTCGGGCTCCGATTTGGCCGCGAGCTTTTGCCATTCGTTGATCTGGCATTCGTTGATCCTGAAAATATGGAAGCATTTTAATTAGACAAATATACTTACCTCAACAATCTTTTCAACAACCGCGTGCTTGCCGCCTTTTGGCGCTGGCATACTGTATTTCAATCCTCGCAGATTTGTCAGGCGATTCCAGTTAACGTGCAAAACTTCTTTTCCATCCTTGTCCATTGTGACTGCGCACTAAATTTAAGATTTACCTATATTTGTCAAGTAACACTGACCTTATGCAGCGATTTGTTACCGCATTTCGGGCAAAATTCTTTCATCATATTGCTAGTGGTGCTGAAACAAGCACGGCATCTGAGGACGTAGGTTTGGAGCTTTTGGATACGGTATCCGGAAAGGGAGATCAGCTCTGAAATAATTTATATAGAATTTAATCATAATCTACTGCATTATAGTATTTTAAAAATTCTATTACTTACCAAGGTGCATATGAAGCAACACATTCTGCACAGCATAATCTGTCGTAATACATCCAACCTCGGCACCGTCACATAGCTAAAATACACCAAAGCTTATAAAATTATAAGAATAGAGAAACCTCAATAGCTCCCAATTTGCTCAATGCAGTATCCAACGAGTCTGCGGTCAGCCAACCCTCATCTTCATCCGAACTATCGGCTTTCGTGAACCCGGGAGGCAGTTGCGAGACTTTCTGCACATTTCCTTCGTGTTGGGTATCAGCTTCCTCTTCCTCTTCTTTTTCCACTTCCACTTCAGGTTTGTTTTCCTGTTCCAACGTCAACTTTGCCAATGATGCATCCAGCTAAAACACAGGATATAGAATTTTTTAATAGCCCTGCCTCATCCTTCGTTAATCCAGCAACAGCTGCATTATTATTTTTTGAAGAATGTCGCTGTGTTAAGTAGTAGGTTAACGCAATAACTTTCAAATCGACGGCCGATAGCTCTGGGTAATTACCGACTCGCTTTGCTTCATCGATCACTAAAATACTCTGTAATCAATAACTAATAAAGGTCAATACCTTTTTGAATATCCTCCATTGGCGGTTCAAACCAACAAATCTCAAATGGGAAAGTATCGAGCTTGACCTTGCTCCTGGAGCATCGAATTTCGCCTAGGACGCCTGGTGGGGCGTAGAAGTTCTCGGCTATGTTCTGAATTTGGTATTAATTTTCATAATTATAGCACGGCTTACATGGAGTTGCTCGACCGGGTGGATGAGGGCATTTGTATCCAAAACAAGGTGTTTTATCGGTTTCTTCATTGTGGTTTTGGATCTGGAATTGTCTCGATATTAAAATAGCAGTGAGACGCTAATTATATGGTCGTTAAAGTAGCTAAATTGCGATTAATATCTACAGTATAAACTGCCCAAAACAACCGTAATTTTAATGATTTAGGTTTATTCAAGATCTCCTTTCACTTTGTTTCGTAAACTCTGAGGTATCACAGCGTTCAAATTAGAGCTCTGGCAATGAGGGTGGGAATAGAAGTTGATCACAACAACAATTTGCATCAAAAAATCGAAGCTAATATAGCAGAATTCAGCTATGTGCATAGAAAATATCGATATTCAAAATCCGGCAAGCTGTAATAAGCTTTCCTCTCGGACTTCTCCAAATACTTTGTTGATTCGCATATCTTCTTTGAAAGTGTCGACAACTCTCTAAAAAGCATAGATTTTAATGAACCTTTTTTTACTAACCTCTAAACACGGTATAAGCATTAATAGTTGTGACATACGCCTGGGATAGCTTTGGTTGGCCATAGTTATTTTATAGTAGCTAGCAAGCTCTCTAAAATTTATACCTTAAATTGCTAAAAATTTAAACCCACTTTAAAACTTTATCCCGTGCTCTTAACAATTTCTCATCTGTGAGAGCGGTAAGTTGAGGAAGTCCGGGCTCGAAAAAGACAAGCATCAGTAGTGCAGCACGCTCAAATTCTAAAAACTAAAGCTAAGAAATTCTGAAGATATGGCTTACCTGACGTATCCATTAACATTAACGGCTTCGTCAGTGTTTTTGCAAAATTCAAAAACGAGGGAAGGTGTATTCTAAATAACTCATTTTTAAAAATGCTTGTGAATTGATACCGTGCCGCGTCAGACGGTGTGAACTGTACTACGTCAAAATTAGAAAAGTAGTGCTCCAGGTTGTTAAAATCAATAAAATTTCCATCATAGAAAACTATCCTAAATGCAAATAATTTTAATGGCTATTGATAAATTTACGTACCGATCCATTGCATGGGATTTTGCCGAGTGAGTTCCACTTTCAAAAAAGATGAATTTTATGGCAAAGTTGTTACATAATTCTTTCCAAAAAAAAGTATTTTGACGGGTTAAAAAAAGTTGGACTTACAAATTCATGTGTCGATAGCTCATCAATATCCGGGAATGAAATTTTGATGAAATCGGGGAGGTTTTTTGTGTACAAGGCGCTGTATTCGGTCACCTGATCAAAAGTGATCGGATGGTTGGGGCGTTTAAAGTGCTAGAATTTAATTAAATAGAAATCACTAGCTTCAATATTACCGGTGTTGCCCGAGTAAATGTTTGATATAATCGTTGTAGGGCTTCTGCTGCTTTGGTAATTGTTATAAATTGAGTTGTTAGGATGGTTGGGTCTGGGGGAGATGCGACGAGGCTGCTTGAACTTGATGTGCAGGTTGAATCGCTTAGAACAGCTAAAAGTCAGAATATAATTCGAATCTACCGATAGCTTACGTTCGCCACCAATATTCATGCCCATCGCTAGGCACTTATTAAATCGACAAGATCTGCATATACATCGAACATCGAGGGTTAGGTCGCAATTTCCACCTGATCGCCGGCAAGTGTAGATTCTTTTCATGTCAATGCTACGTCTAAATAGGCATCGATTAATCATTAAAATGTTAATAGACCCACTTGAAAAACGCAGCACAGGCCCTGCAGCTTATGGCCCCGAAATGAAGCCCATGAGAGGGGCTGCCACAAATCGAGCATTGCCCGGCCCTCGAGGCCGTCGCAGGGGCCATACAAATTGGGTTGCGAGGAGCCAGCGGACCTAAAAGCATTAGTAAATAGTTTTTTTGCATAGAAATCATCGAAAACCGATTACGCAAGGAAATCTATCGAAACGAAGAACCCTTATTGCATGCAGAATGAAGCGCCAAAAACTCAGGATTTTGTTGGACTTATTCATGCTAATGATCCCAGGGTCTGCGATGCCGCTGAGGCTTTGGCTTGGTTTATTATAATTAACAATTATGCAATGCATAAAAATCATACGTAGCTTTTCGCAACATTTGAAAAAATATACTTTAATTTTTAGCAGAAGAATGGATTTCTAATATGACTAAGGCCCATTATTTTATCAGCTTAGGACATAGTTCAAAAAATAAACGCAAAGAAAAATGTTAATTTCCGGGAATGGCAGCTGGAGTGCCGGGGAGATGAGTATTGACTGGGCACTGATGTGGGGGTACAGGTTGTGGAAGGAATGGAAAAAGAGTCTGCGAAATAGAGAGACCCAGGCAGAAACAGAGAAAAGCAACTCAAAGAGACTGATGACGGTGGAGTGGGCGCCGTGAACAGAGACCTTCACGTTGAGAATAAGGCTTTTCCGGGCGTCAAATTTAATTTGGGGGTATGGTAAGTACATGGCTTCATTAGATGCTAGGACCGGGATGTTAATTCAAAATCCCAATAAATTAGAGCGGCTAGACTACCGTATGAAATTCTAGAAAACAGAATAAAATGTAGGGGAAAACTAGATTTAAAGGCGAAGAACGAAAAAGACCATCCATAAAACAATTGGAATCTTGCAATCTAAATCTATGAGACCGCATAAAATAATTTGGCTGACGAAAACAAATTTTGTCACCTGGAAGAAGCGTACATTTAAGAGAAATATTATTTAGAAAAATAATGACAAATTTGGACTTTGTCGCTTCCAAATATTAAGAAATCGTTGTTGCCAACCGACATTCAGCGCAAGCAAACAATTCGTTTGAGCGGTTTTGCAGTGATGCCAAAAGTGATGACTTTTCGAGGGGCCATCAGAATACATCACCTTCCTGGCCGGCTTTTGCGTTCTCACGTGATCTCGGGGGATCTATTATTTCCCTGTGAAAATTTGGTAAATTCGAAACGGAGTGGTCATTGAAATTGTCTGGAAAATTGTTAGTTAATAGCAAAAAGGCAAATGATACGTTTTAAAGGAGCGCTGAAGCGAAAATCATATATCTGTAGCATCTCAGATTTTTCAGAATGCTGCAAAATCAATGAACAATGAGCCTATCGACTTTTGACAGATGGCCCGCCGATCGATTTCCATCAAAGACGCGGCCCCTGTGGTTCCGAAGCTCCTATTAATGCGCAAAGTACACAGGGTAATGGCCATCGATTATTTTCTCTAATGCATAATTCTGGTATCGGCTTGTAAATTTTGGACTCCGGAAACGAGGGATTATGTGGAGGATTAGTGGAAACGAGATTCTCTGCGATCGATTTTTCCAGCAGAATAGGTTTTTAGAGTGGGATTATGCGGTTGAGGTTTCGAAAGAGAAAATTAGTGGCCTGCGAGTAGGCGTAAAAGGCATGTGAAAATAAATGGGATATATTTAAAGGAGCTTGAAAGCCAACCGAGCGATTTATAGAAAAATGCAAAAGCGATTTTGGAAACGTCAATGGGTTTATTAAGTAGTTTTAGCTTAGCGCTTTGATTACTAGGAAAAAGGGTTTTCCGGATTAAAGAACCTAACATTTTTGTGTGGAGCGGTTACGGTAGGCTGGATGACTTGCAGAAAATTTTTTAACGATTTTTGCAGTACATAAAGCCCTATTCCCCTGCAAATTTGGCCCGATCCAGGGTCAAACTAAATCGATAACAAAAGGGTCGGCCTTACTCCCCGTTCTCTCTCTCCCTCTCTCTCTCTCTCTCTCTCTCTCTCTCTCTCTCTCTCTTCTTTCTGATTATCCTTATCCGAAATGGACATCATGAGACACTCACCGCTACTCACAACCTCTAATATCCGCCCGGCCCCTGCCCCCACTTTTTCCACGCCCATATCATTGCAACAAAATCACGAAAAGTGGAAATGTTTTTGGCATTAATGTTTTGATTTTGATCATTAATAGTTACTAAAATACATACGCTACCTTACAAAAAAACAGGTTGCAGATTTTCAGGGTTTGTATGACTTCTATACTTCAACGAAGGCAATTCGCGCTTGTTACGCTATTTTTCCAGGTAAGAAACGGAGCCTGGGAATAATTAATCTGCATTTTGCAATTAATTACCATTTTAGCTCCTCTTTATCGTCGGGTTTGCTCTCTTTGCCAAATTCGATACCGCCACTGAACATGATCTATATGCAAATGGGAAGCGGGTGTTTGTCAATACAGATTTTCCATGTAAGGAATTAAAATCCAAATTTTTATTTACGTGTTTTAGTATTCCAAGACATCCATGTAATGGTATATGTTGGCTTCGGGTTTTTGATGGCGTTCCTGAAGAGGTAGGCCCCCGTTCAGAAGCCCTCTTATTTGCCTAGATACGGGTTTTCAGCCGTTTCCGTCAATTTGTTGCTTTCAACGTTTGTGACACAGTATGCAATGTTGTTGCGAGGGTTTTTGAGTCCGACGTTTCACGATACGGGCATGTTTAGTGTTTCGGTTAATGAGTAAGTTTGAAATGTTAATCTTTGTGGTCTGGCTAAAACTGGCTCAATTTACGGATTTTAACTGCAAATTTCAGAATGGTTTCGGCTGACATTTCCTGCATAGTTGTGCTAATTACCATGGGTGTATTACTGGGCCGTTTGACGCCTGTCCAATTTTTACTACTTGCATTTTGTGAAACAACAATTTCGGTGATGGTGGAACATATTCTTTTTAACATTTTGCACGTAAGTTACGACATTTAATCGATCCCTAAAAGTGTGTCCAGGTGTTACTATTCCTTTAAAGAGATAGGGGCGGCATAAGTCAATCGATTACGCGCGGGAAAGAAAATGTCTCTGCGCCTCGCCCCTGGGCGCCCTCTCTCGCCGCCGGTCGCGCTGGGACCTGTTGAACCCCCCCTCCCCAAGGGGGGTTCAACAGATGCCGTCCTCATCTCTTTAAAGTTAAAGAAAACTACTTTAGCAGTCAAAACATAGATTGTTTTGAAAAATGGGATATAAAATATCGATTTTGTTAGATCAACGACGGAGGCCGTTCATTGGTGGTCCACGTATTTGGAGCTTATTTCGGCCTCGCTGCAGCTGTGGTTGGGCAGAAAAAGAATGTTATGGAAATGGATGCGGAGGGCTCAATTTACCACTCCGATCTGTTTTCCATGATCGGTAAGTTACACCTAAAACCTAGAACTCGAACCTCAACCTTGGGGTCATACAATTATTATCAAAATTTTAGGCACGATGTTCTTGTGGATATTCTTTCCCACAATTAACGCGGCTATTCAAGAACCTGCTGATGCTAGGCACAGGTAAAAAAAATTAAATTGAAGGCTATTTTCATTGTTTTTCAGAGCTATCGTAAACACCTACCTAGCGATGGCTTCGTGTACTGTATCGACCTTCTTGGTTTCGTCGTTGACAGATCATCTCGGCCGGTTTAATATGATACATATTCAGAGTTCGACATTGGCTGGGGGCGTGGCTATTGGTGAGTTAATGGATTAATAGAGTATTTACTGAAAAATCTGACTTGCGTTTTTAAAGGGATAGTGACAAAGGAAACAGGGTAACTCGAACAGGGTAACAAAAACCAATTGAGGTTTTTCATCCCTTGAAAGGGACCGACGATCTCATATAGGTTTTCCTCGCTCCTGAAATTGCATCCTAAAAAGGCCTGATCCTCCATTTTTAATTGTTTTTGATCCATCCTTGTCTTCAACGGCCCTTTAAAACGATTCTTATTAGGTTCGGCCGCAAATGCAATGATCTACCCGTACCACGCCTGCGTCGTCGGCATGGTCGCCGGGGTCATCTCCGTATTCGGACATGCTGTTTTGAGCGTATGTTAATTTATATAAGCTTGATTATCACGTTTTAATGCAGAAACGCCTCGAGAAACGTTTCAACATCTACGACACATGCGGTGTTCACAATTTACACGGGCTTCCGGGGTTGCTCTCCGGTGTTATTAGTATCCTCGTCGCGCTTCTTTATGCGGATAAAGAGATCTATGGGGAAGATACGTAGGTTTTTGCTTAAAATAAAGAATATCATGGATTACCAAATTAAATTTTATTTTTAGTATCTATCACATCTACCCCTATTTTGCTGGGGGTCCAATGAATGGAGACAGGGATGCATATTCCCAAGCCATGTACCAATTGGCCGGGATGATTGTCGCATTAACGGCGGCAATTGTTGGCGGCTTTATGACGGGTTTGGCATCAATTTTTAGATAAACGAAACAAAAAAATTAGGGCTGGTGCTCCGGATCCGGCTGTGGAACCAGGTGGAGGATCCTGGGTTCTCGTATGAGGCGAATTATTACGCGAAGCAGGAGTTCAATTTTCCGACAAAGGTTAGTAAATATATGTTTATTAGGAATAAATAGATATCAGTATCGTTATAAATATTTGACTTTGTAAGTTAAGAGAAGCTTGCCAAAGATTCAAAATTCTGAACTCCATAATCCCGAAGTGCAAAATCATGGAATTCGGCATATTAGCATTTGAACTATTGAAAATGGCGATTTGCCATCAGTATTTTATTTTGTTGAAATGAATTTTTCTAGACCTATTTTATCGAAATTCGAATTAGAAATTTTTTGAAAATAATCCGGGCAAAAAGGCGTCATTGGAATTTCGACAAATTAAATTGTCGACAAAGTAATTTTTCTTATGAATCTCGACAAAATGTTTTTTTTTCGGTAAAATGATTCTCGTCAAAATAATTTTAGACAAAATGAAAATAAGCCAATTCAAGTCCGGACCATTAACCAGTTGCCATTTTTTTAGTATATGTCAAAGCGAAGACGGGCCGTCGAAATCGACATGCTAAACCAACTGGAAAACAACGGCCAAATCGACGACGTGTATTAAAGATCTAGTTCTCCCCTTAATTCGTAGTAAATATTAATACCAAAATTTTTGAAAGAACAAACAGTTGCACGTTTTGTGCATGCCAATGGGCTGGGCCCCCAGGAGGCGAGTTGAATGTGTTTGTGTGTTTGTGAGGCAGTGAGGAGGACCGTGTGTGTGGTCTCAGCACGGCCTGTGAGTACCCCCGGCATCAGAGAAGTAAGAAAGAATGGAGGAAAGAAAGAAAGCAGGTAGAAGAAGAAGTTGAGGTAGAGGAGTACGGTGTTGACTCTATCGATCAGTACGCGCTCCTCATTCCGCCACACTACTCCGTCTTTTGCCCATTAGCGACTGTTGGGTTTGGGAGGGTTTCTGGGTTTGGAGGCTTAATGGGTGATACTTGGTGATCGGTAGCTACTGGTTGACGATGACTGTAAAGTCATTAAATTTGTTGTATTCTTTAAATAGTTTTTCTTGTTTTTGACTATGTTTTGTGATCTTTTTCTCTCGTTGGCTAGTCCTCCCCTGGCAATCCGCCAGTTAATTTTAATTGCAAGTCGCTTTAGTTTTGAAATTAAATAAGCAAGTAAGTCTTTAGTTTGAAAATTTCTTATTGTGAAACGTGATTTGATTCTGATTTACTGTAGATAAGGTACTGTTTCCTGTCTTTTCCCTAAAGATCTTCGCTAGTTAGCCTTGGCATGGCGTTCCTTTTCATGTAGGTTTGTCCTTAAACACGTATTCGAGGTCAAGTTACGTTTTTGCTTTCAGTTAAGGTAGATTTGATTTAAGCTAAAGGGCTTTTGAAGGAAGACCTGGAGACATACACAGTTTTTCTAAACGTAAGTTAATATGTTTTCTAAGTATCACTTGACTCCCTGATTTAAAAACTACTGTACGCAGTAATTTTTTTTGAATTCTATGCCATTAAGAGGCGATTAAAGGCTACCTGTAGATATTTCCGTTTTCTAGCTTTAGTTTAGGAAATTACGCGTAAATTATGGCTTTTCTAAATATCAACCAATATAACCGTATTAGAAAACTACTAGCTGCTGCAATTTCGGCTTTTTACAGTATAACTATGCCTCCATTAAGAGCCTAATGAAGGCCTCAGGAGATGAAATCTTTTTATCGCTTCTGTACGGCATAACACGCCGTGGTTCAACTTTTTTCTAAATTCCGCCACTCTACCGTATCCAAAACTATCGTACCGATTAATTTCATTGTCCCCCACCCCGGCATTGATCCATCTGATTCCATTGGGGTTGAAAGTTTGCTGCGGGCCCTCGGTTCAAGGGGCCCAAAAGTTGGGGCCCCCACCACTGTGAACTGTTTGCCTTGCCAGCCGTCTGTCGCCAGCCGGCCGTCCGCTCGCGCGGTCCAACGGTAGCTAAAGAGGTGGAGAGAGAGGGAGCGAATGAGAGAGAGATGGAGAGAGCGAGAGAGAGTGTGAGAGATACCTAGATCCAGAGAAAAACAGTATGTTATATACAAGAGAGTATGGACCAAGCCCCAACATGCACACGTGCTACTGCCCCCCGTCTTATGTTGGCCAGCCACAAACATTACTTCAGTACTCCTGTGGTCCTCGTCCTCCTTGGGCCTCAACAGTCACTGTATTTGCATCCCGCCCTCCCCCGCCCCCTTGCCTGAAACATACGTTTTGACTTTGCTGCTATGTGGTAGAAGTCTTTTGTTTGTGTTTGTTACAGCAGCCGCCCAAAAATGGGGTGCTGGTGTTTTGGGTTGGGTTTACTTGTACTTCTTACTACTTTTTACAGCTAAAGCAAATTTTCGAGTTGTCATTAAATAATTACAGCCAACATTCTTTTTTTCTCTTTCTTTCCAGGTTTAACCTGGTTCAAAATAATTTATTCATTGTTTTATGTTGTTTTTATGTTTCATTTTATCTGTTGTTTTTTTGTGAAAAATATCTATGGCGCCTACCGTCACCCACTTTAACAAAAACCAAAAAGATATTAAAGACGCGTCGTGTTTTATGTCGCTTTCCCTTCAAACTCGGCGTAAAGGATCACGCTTCAAATTCTAATAAATCTTTTTGCTAATTATTTTTGAAGGAAGGACTCTTCTGCCACATTTCCATTAATCGGTCACAAGCCGATTCGTTGAAGCTATGCAAATTTGAGCGATTTTTAGCCAAGGTAGCTTCTTTGCATCCTCAGGGAATTTGTGAAAACTCCGCTACTGGATTTATACTAAATACTAAATCTGACACTAAATCCCCAAGGTTTTTTAATCACTTTGGGGGGTGTATTAGAGGGAAGGATATATTTTTTGGTAATTTTGATCTGTTACAACAATTTTTAGCAGTTGAAACTGCTCCCAACCGCTCAGGAGCACAGTACAAGGCTGATACTGAAACCTTTTTTGTCATTTTTGTGCTTTTCAAATACAACTTTGATAATTTTTGGGGATCTATTCTAGGAAGTACGGTATAGCACCCTAAATACCTTAAAAACTCTACCTACCCCCCGTTTGTGGGTTGGTGTGGCTGTGGCCCAGGTGGGTCCTCCCCTCCCCCCCTGGTGGCTCCTCTGCTGTGCGAGTGCGGCACTTTGGATTTTGTTTGTGGTGCAAACTGTTCCTTCAAACAAGAGACAGGGGCCAGTGTCTCCCACTACCCCAGCCTCAACCACCCTGTGCTTCTAGTCAACCTCAACTAACTCGAGTCGGCAGTCCCCAGACGGCACGAGGTCGTCGTTTTTATGTATTTATTTTGGTATCTACCCTATCTTTATTTATATCTTTTTACCACTTGACTTGCATACAAAATCGATAAAAGGTCTAAAATTAAATGGCATTTAATTGTTAATGGAACAGGATTGAGTTACTAGTGGGTTTCTCTTCTGAAGCCCAATTTTTTTTTGCTTTTTTAAATATTTTTGGCGTTTTGCTCCCTTTAAAATCGAAATCTAATCAATGCAATTATCACATTTTTCCTGTGTACTTATAATTGTTTAAAAATCTACTATATTTACATATAGAGTTTTTAGGAGCTTTTAATCCGCGCATTAATGGTTCGTAGCCAAACGCTTTTGAAGTCCTGCTTCCTTTACAAAAGGCAGTTTTGATTTTTCGGCCATTTCGGTGCAAATTTGAAGGCTAGACAATACCTTAAAAACGTGGATGAGCGATTTCAGAAATCCACACTTTTTGGTTATCCATGCGTTAAAAGCTAGGTCCTTAAATTTTAGCCCCTTACTGTCACACTCCCTTTAAAATCCCAAAACCCTCTCTGGCAAACTGCCATAATTTTCCATGCCTTTTGCTGATCTTGCCGAAATTCCACCCATACCGTTTCAAGTTTCCCGCTTGGTGTCCACTTCCCGCTTCTTCTTCCTTCCTCTCTTTATCCCTCAATTTCGCAGTCGTAGTTGTGGCCATTTGGTTTGACAGGCGGTTGTAGCTGGGGTGAGGAGAGCGTCATGTGTGCCCTACCCCCCTCCGGCAAGCTTCTTCTTTTCCTCCTTGTCCAGCCTGGGACACACACCTGTCTTTAGGGCCCTTGACTTGACAAAGCCATGTACACGTTTTTTACTATTTTCGTGTTATAGGGGCTGTGGATTGTTGCGGCTAGTTTATGACATTTCTGTTTTTCAAATTTAAAAAGCTGAGAATCGACCCTTGAGATTGGCTGGGCCTCAACAAAGTACAAGTTATTCTAAAAGACGCTTGAAAGCTAACATAAGATATCTTTTCTTTTTTTCTCCCGCGTGATACAAAATCCAATGGAAATCCTTAATTGCGAGTGCCTTAAACCGATGATTTTCGATGAATTGCAAATATCTTCCTACTCCCTTTAAAGCTCATGCTCCTTCTAAAGCCCATTGAACCCATGTTTTCGATTTTTTGCCTAGGACTGTTTTGATCTCGACACGACCCTGCCCTCAGGGCATTTGGCGGCGATTTTAAGAGGGTACCCCACCCTCACCCTCCCCCACCACCTCTTCCTCCCCACCAGCCTCAGGGGGTATTTGACCGTGTTCAAGGTCTAGCTCCCCCCACCACCGGGTGGAAGAGGGCATTGTTGTCTAGTGGGCGGCTTCTTCGTGTACCCCCACTATTCTTTCTCGGGGTGCCATTCTAGCAATAGCAGGAGGAGGAGCACGAGCCTAACCCCCCTTCAGGTGCATCCGGCACGCCGGCCCACCCACCTCACCAACTTGACCTCTAACGCCTGCCGGCCGGCCGACCACCCACCTCGTGGGGGTTGAGCTCGAGCTTGCATTTGGCTCATTTTGGATGTTGAGCTTGTGCTCATTCTCAAGAAGAAGTAGCTCGAGTGTTTAGCTCGGACTACTGTTTCGACTTTTTTTTTGAAGCTTGATCTTTTCCTCTGTTTCTTACTATACTTTTGATTATGATTGGAATTTCCTGCATTGAAATTCCTTTTTTCTATTTTTTTTTGAAACGCTACCGTACCCTTGTCTCCTCCCAAATACCATATGCCTGCTCACAATTCGGTGAATAGGGCGGCGCACCCCAATTTGTGACTCACATCTTGGCATTGTCAATTTTTGATACGTGCGTCACTCCCGATTTTCATAACGTAATTGTTTTAAAGGGCTATTGAAGTCATTAAAGGAAATCTAGGAAGAAATAAGTTGATTTTTGCGTTAATTAACAGCTCTTGCTCAATTTTATCTCAAAGAGTTTGTTATTCAAATCCATCATAGTCCAATAACCATTTTCCTACTGTAAGCGATTAAAGTATAGAATATCTAGCCAACCCTAATCCCCTATGACCTTTCCATATCGTAATCGATTGATGTATTGAGGGGGACAGGGTTTCGACCCTCGGTCGACATGCCATCCGACCCTCTTTGCATAACCCGAATCAGGCATGACATGGGAGGGGGGAGGCTGACAGTGAGTGTGACACTCTCGAATGCCTTTCTCCCCTCGACCGACCGCTTCTCTACCAACCTCTGCCTCCACCTCGTTCTCAATTCTATTCCATTCCATTCCATTCCATACCTATCGATCAGTTGAGGGCG